GTTTGGAGTAGTTTAAAGTTAGGATAAGAAGAATTAGTTTAAAAATGTATTTTTTTTAAAGTAATAAATATTAGTTTAAAATAACTTAAAATTAGAATAAAGAGAATTAGTTTATATTACTTTATAATAAAATTAGTTTAAAATTAAGGTAAAAAAGTAGATTTAAAATAAAAAATTTAAGATAAATGAAAATAATAATTATTTTAACTTTTCTTTTTATTTTTTTGTAAACAATTGTAATAATATTTGTGATAAAGTAATTTTATCTAATAAAAATAATATATACTATTGTATTTAAAGAAGAAATTTTAATTATAAGAAAATTACAAAACTTTTATAAATAATAGGTAAATTAATAAATAATAAAAGTTTTAAGTTATTAAATCATATAGGTTACAAAAAAGAAGATATTTATTATTATATATATATTTATAATACAAAAAAATTGGTTGTTTATTATTAATGTTTTATATTTAAAGTCAAATAATTCTGAAAACTTTGTAATTATTAATAAAATCATTGTTGAAATTGTTGTATTTATTTACTATTTGTTTATTTTACATATATTATTATTTTTAAATTAACTTATTTTATTATTTTAATTAAAAATAATATTCAATTTATTTAATTTGAAATAATTGGTTGAAAATAATTAATTAGAATGTATGAATAAAAAGAATGTATTAATAGAATAAATGGAATAATTTAGCATTTTATTGGAAAGGTTATTGGGTAAAATTTTAAATAGATCTTGACAGTTACTTAAAAATTTTTTGGTTGTATTATTATTTATAATAGTGATATAATCATTTAGGTAACAGATTAACTTTTTCTTTAAAGAAATAGTCTTTTTTTATAATGCTTAGTTTTTATATGTATTTTGTTTTTCTTATTTTTATAAGTTTAATATATATAAGTAAGCATAGTTATATTAAGACAAGGTCATATCTATCACAGGTCGAAAAGTGAAAAATCAGGCATCAATCAGTCACCAATCGGTCACCAATCAGGTAGCTGATTGGTGATGATTCCAATGAGCTATATTTCATTTTTTTCTGATCACTGGATCAAAAGTTAGCAAACTGCCTGATTGATGATGGTATTTGGCGAAAATGCCAATCAGTCACCAATCAGTCACCAATCAGCTACCTGATTGGTGACCGATTGGTAACTGATTGATGCCTGATTTTTCACTTTTCGACCTGTATATAATAAATTAATAAAAAAAAAGAATGTATTAATAGAGTAGAAAATTGTATTAAATATAAGAAATATATTAATAAAATACAATAATATTACTTTATAGAAACTTGAAGTTTTCAATCAATATAAAATTAACATATATAGTTAAGTTTAATTTAATTATGTTGTTACAATATCATTTTAATGTTATTTTTATTTTGATATTATTTCAATATTATTTATTAATATTAAAATTGAAACAATATTAAAATTATATTATTGCAATATTAAAATATATTGAAATGGCATATCAAAATAATATTGAAATAATATTGAAATAACATATTTAAATTAAATTTAATGATATCATTTTAGTCATTTTGATATTATTTAATATTTAAATATTATTTTAATGTCATTTTAATATCATTGTAATATTATATCAATAACATTAAAATAGAACTCCAGACATTACATATACAACTTAGTGATAACTTCTTCATAAATTGACCTAAATTTCACAAAAAAAATCAGTTTTTTGCAATTATTTTGATATCCAGTAGTCCAATTTGTACGAACTTTTTTTGTTTTGTAGCTCTTATTGAGCTCTACAAAAAAAAAAAATCGCATGAATTGGATCACTGGATACTGAGATAATTGCAAAAAACAGAAAATAAAAAAAGAGCAAATTGGGTCTTTTTTGACAAAAAGTCAGTTGTGAAAGGACCCCGCTTACTTATAAGATAGGTCACCCCCAGGCCTAAAGTAAAAATCATATATAAAATTCTTTGCAGATTCTACTATAAAAGGAAATTTTATGTTATACTATTGTTATGATTTTTTTCCTTTTTAGCTAATTAACCAATAGAATTTAAGAAAAAAGTAAGGTAAAAACTATTAGTAAAGGGCCAATTTTCTACGGTGACCTTTATTATAAGTAAGCGGGGTCCTGTTGTGAATTCTATAAAAGATGTCCAGGGTTCTATTAAAATTATATTAAAAATATATTAAAATAACATTATTTGTAAATTTTGAGTTTCTGTAAAGTATATTAAAATTTTAATTTAAAGTCAATTATAATTAGTAAATACTAAAAAAATTATATAATTTTAATTTTTAATTTTTTAAAAAATAAACCAATTTGCTAAAAATATAATTTATAATTTATTTCAAAAATTTCTGAAATTCTGATATAATAAAAATAATTTTATCTAATATAAATGAATTACTTTACTAAAAATTGCCAATTTTTTGAAATAATTTTGTAATCAGTAATTTTAAAATATTACTAAAATACATTTAATATATTAAAATGTTTTTATTATACTTAGTTATTATTTTGTGATTGTATTATATCTAGGTCTATAAAAATATTTCAAAATAATATCACAATAATTTTTCAATACTTTTATTATTATTTTATATTATAATATAATTACTAACTTTAATATTTTTTAATATTTTAATTTCAAAAATACCTTAAATATATTTTGATATATTTTAAAAATTTTACAAAATAATGTTTTGAAAACTATTGTATCTAGGCCTATAAAAATATTTCAAAAAATTGGCAATTTTTAGTAAAGTAGTATAGTAATAAATTATTTACTTATTATATTTAAAAGTGATTTGTAAAAATAAAAAAAATATAAAAGCTAATGAAATCTATTATTTTAAAATATATTTATATATATTAATTTATAAAACAATAATTATTTTTTTTTTAAAAAAAAATTATTTAGCTGTAATTCTGATTAATATAATTAATATATAAATTTTACTTTTTTAAAATACTTATAAAACAATTTGTTTAATATTATATAATAAATTGATTAATAAAAATAAGATTATACAATTTAAAATATACAAATTTTTTATTATTATAAATTTTATTTTTTTCGGGTGTTCAAACACCGGGTTTTCAAAAAAGTAAAGTTTCTACGCTGATCATTTAATGTTTGGTAGAATTAACAAAATCAACTTCGATGCTTTAAGTAAATTTGTAAAACAGACAAAAATACACATATTGCATGTTCCTTTTAAAATTATATTTATTAAAAATTTTTTTTTACATAACTCTTTAATAAAGTCACGTAATACATGTATGAATACTCAGTGCAAATTAAGAAATTCTCTGAATTCATTATTCGATTCCTTTTAATAAGATGAATAGTATAAAAATTATCAAAATCAGATTATTGGATGTTAAAATAATTTATTTTAAAATTTAATACTATTTTTTACTATATAAATTATGTAAATATTTTAACTTTTGGAAACAAATGGAGTGAGAATTGATTTAGGAAATTTATTTTTTACTATTTTTAATCTAATAAATTCTTGCATGTTCTATAGATTACAAAAATAATATAAATAATTTTTTTTTTTAGTTTATCTACTTTTTTTCAATTTTTTACTGCATATAGTTTTTTTTTAATTTTAATAACTAGTAAATTTAATTTTCTTTTAGTCTTTTTTTATTTTTATAATTCAGTTAATATATCTAATCTTATTATATTTTATCAATCGAGAAAAATAGATTTGAATCTCAAAAATATTATTTCAAGATCTGTATTGTAACTGTATTCAGTATATATAAATTTGCTTCGAAATGAGGGAGAATGAGTTGTTAATTATTTGCAAATACCTTTTCAAGATCATCCATTCTAGAAAATTTAAAATGTCAAATGAAGTTCCACTAAACTCAAAATTTGCTTACTATCAATTGCGGAAATCTAAAGTTACGTTGCAGACAAAATCATGTGTCTCATTGTGACAAGAAATTTCATCCTGCATAATCGGTTTCATATGCCGAATTCAAGTTTAAGCAGTATTGCAAATATGGTAAAGGATTTACAATGGGGAATTCAATTGAATTGGAGGAGATTAGGTTATTGATTTTGAATTTTTGATAAAACCAAAATTATAGATTTGTAATAAATAAAAATTTGTTAAAAGCACAGTTAGAATAATAAATGAGTTTTGTACCTTTAATTAGTGTACACCCTCCTAAATGCACCCTTTTACTTATAGTATTGCCTTAATTTTATATAAACTTATATATATAAGTGCAACAGTCTTTCTAAATCTTTGTTCTGGCCGCGGGAAGGGTATGTCATCTATTCGATGAGATAATGTACTAATACGCTTTACCACATTTGTGTTTCAAGGTTGACGCAAATGACACATTTTAAATTGTAAGTAGCTGTAGCCAATTATAGTTTTTTTAAAAAAAGTGACCAATAATAATGTAATGATCGTTCATCACTATAATAATTTTCCAATCGTCATTCTTTTAATGTACTACAGCCTTCAAATGGAAATTTTAAATTCTAATGAAATGCAAAAATTAATTAATTGAAGCATAAACAAGAAAATCTCTTCTATTAATACTTGTAGTCAGTATTTATTTTTTTAAAGAAAGGTAAAGAAAATAATAAACAAATGCACATATACTCATCCTACCTCGTAGTACGAATTAGTTCTTTTGTCTACTAAAAAACAATCATATGTATGATAAATTATATTCACATATGTAGTAATAGCAGAATTATGGTATGACCAGATATTATTAGTCAATTTCAATAGCAAAAAAATTCATTAATATTTGTGGATCGTGAATGTATTTTCCAACCGTACAGTACATTTAATATAAATACTTGTTAGATGATTCAAATTGGTTAAATGTGATTCTTTTTTCTCCCTTGTTAAACTTTATTAAAATTAAAATCTATTCGAAAGATGAGAACTGAGGAACGATCAAATTATTCGACATATTACACATTTCGTAAAATAAAATTATATCATTTATTAATTACGGCATTTATATTATTTTTATTCATAATATCTTATTATAATAATTATTACCATAACGATGTTAACGATAATGGATATTCTTCAGAAATTCCATTTGTTGATAATTCAGTACAGAATATGACATGTCCGCATTATAAAATAGCATTGTTTATTTTTTCACAAATGGAACAAGTTGACAAACGTATGCTAATGAGGGAAGAATTATTTGGTATCACAGATAATTTAATTCCTTGCATGAAACAAGACACAACTGAAATTTTTTATAGATTCTTGGCAAATAAATCAAAGAAAATTGATATGAGTATTCTACATTCGTATACGGCCGAAAAAATGGAGTTTAATGATATTATTGAAATTGATATTCAACATAGTGATGACCTACACCATTATTTACTGGAAAACGTAAGTTTCGATATATGTTTCATTAGTGTCACATGATAAAATTCACGTGATGTCACTTACTAAATCTAATCCTTTAAATATATTCAGGCTAAATCGTTACAAGAAGAATGTACAACATTTGATCATTTAGTAATAATAGACACATTTACTATGATAAATCTCGAAAAAATCAAAAATAAAATTTCAACTTCGACACTAGTAACGGATACACAAAAATTGGTTTGGGGGTCATTCAATTCTAACAGAACGGAAAACATGGCAGTAATAATAGGGGCATCAGCAATACAACCAATTCTCGATAATTTGAAATTTAAATTAAACCACACAAGTATTTTATCAAGTCTATACCTTTATCATAAGAAATATCCAAACAAAAAAATTCCGAGCGATTTGATTTTTATTAATGATCCAATAAGTATAATAGAATGGCCAAATACAATAACTAGTATTGAGTGTGCTGATTGTGTTGTTGCAATTGGTCATATTTATCAAGATGTGGAAATTAAACAAATTAAAAATGAACTTAATATTCCAACAACACTTCCTTGTAATGCTCGCTCTGATCTTAAAATGTACTCAAAGGAGACAGCATCCAAATTTAGACCAAATGTAGCTGTAGTAACAAGTAGTTTCTTATATAAAGATAATTGTATGTTAGAAGCTGGATTTCTTTCTGCAAAGAATAAACGGGAATATGCCGAAATGCATGGTTACGCATTCGTGTCTCGTTCAGCTGAATTTGCACAACAACTTTATCATGATAGAAAACCAGTTTGGGGTAAAATTGATGCCATAGAAAAACTTTTGCCCTATTATGAATGGTTAATATGGCTTGATATGGACGCTATTTTCGTTAATAGATCTCTTACTGTTGAACGCTTTTTGGAAATGTGCGAAGAAAAAGTTGGCGGAAAGGAAGAGTTTGAAAAAATTAATATTATTGTAGCCAGACCTATTAATGATAAAATGATTAATGCTGGTGTTTTCTTAATTAAAAATTCCGCTTGGACTAGAGATCTTCTTAGACGTGGAATACAACCTAGATATGATTTCTCTTACACTGGTAGTTTAGAACAGGAAGCCATGCGTGATGCTATTAGACATCCATACTGGAGAAAAAATGTAAGTACTAAGAATTCTTGTCATTTGAATTTGAAGTTTTTATTCTAATTTACTTTATCATAGGTTTTGAATTTGGAATATGATGATCATTCATTAAATACTTTCCCTGATAGATATGTTCGTGGTGATTTTATTGTACATTATGCACCTATAGGTGGTTGTCCTGCTGCTCCTGTACTTAGGGGTTTATCAAATGTTAAAGTGTTAGAGGAATTTCCTAATGCTGAAATCTCAATTCCATTTTAAATAGCATATGATTTTTATTTTAACAATTAGATTGTTTAAACAAATAACTTACAATCTTAAAATAAATTGTCAAATAATTTTTTAATAAAGAATCTAATTAGTTTATATAAATATCTGATATGTAATAATAGAATTAAAATTCAAAATAATTTATATATTGTTCCAATGAAACTATGTATTTCAACCAATCAATATTCGAGAAATTTCAATAAAAAAATAAGAAATTAAACAAGCTCGAATGCCACGTTGCTGATCATCAATTAAATATTATATAAGCAAAATTTCTGATTTACATAAACGTGATGTAAGAAATGTTGGACAAAGCAAGGACCCGAAAGGTCACTGATCAAAATTTAATTCGGGTTTTACAAAAATGGAATAGTCTATTTGTGAATATATACTGTATAAAAACCGACTTGGAACAATTTTAATCCTTTTCATACCGTCCACACGATGGAAAAAATTCCACCTGAAATTTTTTTGGAAATTTGTATTCATTTATATGTTAAAGATCTCTACACATTAACTCTCGTTTGTAAATTGTATCGTAAAATTTTATGGACAAAAGCTGTTTCTATACAAAAAGTTTGGACATGTTCAAGAGTTCTTTCATTTGATCCAATTTTACCTTATCCTTCATTACCACCATCAAAATTTATGAGTGAACAAGAATATATTTGGTTTACTTTGTTAGCTGATAAATGTAGTATTTGTAAAATTAAAATTGAAAAAAAAGATTTGTTTGGTTGTAGATATTGGGAATTTAGTAGATTTTGTTGTAAAGAATGTATCGAAAGAAAAACTGTCAGGTAAGAAAAATTTTTTTTTTGAATAATTCATTATAGCTTAAATGTATTTATACTAATTTAAAAAAATGTATATATTTTTATAAAAAAAAAAATTTATACACTTTATAGTATTTCATACATTAAAATGACTATGCCAAATTTACCAAAAGAATTATTAGAATGTTTACCATATCATAAAAGAGATGAAAAACTTTATTGGTCGGATGATTTACATTCAATTAAAGCCAAATATTATAGTTTTGAAAATAAACATGAAAGAGACAATTGGGTTAAAGAGAAAAAAGAAGAGGTTAATGAATTTATGGATGAAATATATAAATATAAATGGCAAGACCAATATGTATATTTCTTTCCTTATGCTTTTAATGTAAATTAAAGAGCTGGTAAAAGGAAAGGTAAGGAAAAGGAATTTTTTGAATAGAGATTTTAAATATAGAATATATAATTAGATTAGATTATATTTAGAATTAATTATATTACATATAGATTACTAATTTAATTTTCTTGATATTGATTTTTTAAATAATATTTATTTTATAAATAAGTTGATATCAACTTATTATATATCTAATATTATATTTATTATTGAAATTGTGTTGTTTATTAAAGTTTATAATACATTGAAATAAATTTGATAAAAGGTAAGCTATACAAAAAAAGACTTTATAATATTTCTTTTAATTGACCTTATTTTATTGGTTAGTATTCTTGAGAGAGGTATATATTTTTATTATTTAAACCACTATTTCAATATTTCAATGTTTATAAGTAAATAAAGATATTTATGATTTTATTATTGAGATTTATCAATAATATGCAGAGAATAATAATAAATTATTTATTGTATCTAATTACAATTTTGGTTTAGTTCTTGCAATAGTTGCAGTTATTAAACCTATTTTTTTTCAAAAAAAAAAGAAAGAAAGAAAAAATTTAGTTTTAAGATGAGAGTAAAAAAAATATTAATATTTACCTGCTGGGTCAGCTACAGGATAGTAAATATCAGTGTCTTTTCCAGTATTTTTTAATCCAAATCTATCAAGATCATAAGTAAAATAATGCTTATTTGGTAATTCATAATGAATAGAACTAAGTTGTTGAAATTTTTCTAAAGCAATTTTAGCCATAAGATATAAAGTTGCTTGCACCGAAGAACTATTGTGTGTAGCAAAAGTATCTAAAGTAATTTGTCTAATTGAATCAAAAATATCGTCAAAAGGAATTTGTGAAATCAAAGATATATTAGAAATGTTATAAGTCCAAGTTGCATCTACACTGGTTGAAAGGATACGGTCATTAGTCTCTTGAAGAGTTGTATCTATACATAGGAGAAAAAAAATAAGATAAAAGGATTTTATACAAAAAGATACAAATATATTTAACTTAACATTTATCTCTCAAGAATCCGTAGAATGCTGAACCGGTAGTTTTTAACACCAACATATCCTTAAGGCCTGACTCAATTTCAATAGTCACATCTTTTGGTCCACCTTTCTTTGTAATAACGACTTTAGTGTTTCGAGTATCCTCACCATCTCTTAAAAAAGAATGATCATGTAATTTTCCATTAACAAGCATTCTTGTCCACTTATGTTTACTTATCCAAACATTAGCTTTGGATACATGTGAATAAGTTGAAATAAAATGTTGTCCAATTTCTGTGGCAAAAATTTCAATACGATTAACATTAGATGATTGTTTAGCAAGAATATAAATAGTATTTTTCATCGTATCCGTTGCGACAATGAGCGAATTATCAGCTTTTGTATAAGAGTCGGCAAAGTCGCCTTCTAAAAGAACACGAATCTATTTAAACAAAAAGTATTATTATATTAAACTTGCTTAAGCACCTAATACAACTAAATAATTTATGCATTACCGTAAGTTCTACAATTTCATGCCATTTGCCCGTACGTATAACCTTAACTAATCTAACTTGATCTTTTCCATAACTTTGTTCTTTAAGATACACTCCAGACATATCGGTAAAATTAAATCAACCAAATCAACTCGTAAACTGTGATAAATGATGATCCTCACCAAACATTATCACATGATATTTATTTATTTATGATTTATGATCTTCATTACAATCAATCGAATGTCCTTGATTTTAAAATTATAATGTCTTCACACTATCCCTCGTATCCCAGAAGATATTCACCAGACAATGAGAGCAGGAAACATAGTAGATATTCACCAGACGACGAGGGCAGGAAACGTCGCAACAGATATTCTGACGAAGAAGACAGGAAACGTCGTTATAGATATTCTGACGAAGAGGAGGACAGAAAACTACGTAATAGATACTCTGTAGAAGAGGATAAGAGGCACCGTAGTAGATATTCTGAAGAAGAGGGTAGCAGACACCGTAATAGATCATCCGACGAAGAGCAAGAGAGAAAATATCGAAATGAATATTCTGACGAGGAGGACAGAAGACATCGTAATAGATTTTCTGACGAGGAGGACAGAAGACATCGTAATAGATTTTCTGACGAGGAGGACAGAAGACATCGTAATAGATATTCTGACGAGGAGGACAGAAGACATCATGATAGATATTCTGACGAGAAGGACAAAAGACATCGTGATAGATATTCTGATGAGGAGGACAGAAGACATCGTGATAGATATTCTGATGAGGAGGACAGAAGACATCGTGATAGATATTCTGACGAGGAGGAGAGAGGACGCAATAGATCATCCAAAAGAAGATATTCATCCGAGGAAGAAAAGGAAAGGAAGCATCGTAGATCATCTGAGGAGGGGGAGGGAAGGAGACATCACAAATCAAACGAGGAAGAAGAGGAAAGGAAACGAAAAAAAAAATCAAAAAAAGCGAAAAAAGAATCGAAGAAACACAAAAGAGTATGTAATTATGGGTAGCTATTATTAAATTTCATATTTTGGTTTTTATGATCTATATCCAATTTATAATTAATTAATTGTCTTTATAGGAACATAAAGCAGATCAATTTTCATATATAGATTTGTCGATTTATTCAAACAGCGACAATCCATTTAATGACGCTAATTTAGGAGAAAAATTCGAATGGACTAAAAAGAAAGATCGCGAGAAGAAATTGGGATTAACTCCTGAGGAGATTTTACGTCAAGAACAACAACGTCGTGAAGAAACACAGGTTGAGACCTTTTCGAATCCATTAAGAAATTTACATATCGGTTTTTTTCTTATTTCATTATTTCACATATCTTTGTTATTAATAGCTCGAACTTGAAAAATTGAAAAAGAGGAGAGTAGAACGTGAAATAGAACAGCAACTAAGAGATGAAGAACTTGTAATTATTTAGCTCTCGATTGTTCATTTATGTTCTTTAATATTGTTTATTAACAAAATTATAATTATAGTCACGGATGCAACGTGAGGCTGAAATCGCATCTATGGGCGATTGGGCAGCTAAAGAAGATGAAGTAAAATTTGATTCAATCTGCGAAAGATATTCATTTAATTGATTACTAAGTGGTTTTCTTTTCTCTATTCACTAGTTTCATCTTCAACAAGCAAAGCGCCGCGCAGAAATTCGTATCAAGGAAAGTCGAGCAAAACCAATAGACATTCTTGCTATCAACCTGCGATTGGCTGATGAAAATGAAGATGTGGATGAAGCTTTAGAAATTGATATAGACGAACCTTACACTATTTTTGAGGTAAATATAGTCACGAATGTAAAATTGGAAAATTCACAATTTAACATAATTTTATGATCATAGAATTTAAATTTGCAAGAGGTTGAAGAATTACATCAAGACATTCAGAAATATTTAAGCCTTGAGAAAAATCCGAATAATCTCGATTTCTGGAGGGTAAGTATTATTACTACAATGATTTATTGGCCTTTTTATTTGGATTGTATCTAAAAAATTTTTTATCGCTATATAGGCAATGATTGTAGTATGTGATAACAAGCTTTCTGAACTTCAAGCAGAAGAAAAAAATCTTACTGGCAATGTTACCGCCGTTGTTAAAGATGATATTAATAAATTGTTGGCTGGTAAAACTTATGAACAATTAAACAAACTGCAGAGTCAAATTCAACAAAAGTTATCTGGACAAGAAGCTGTGGAAGTTGAATACTGGGAACAGCAGTTAAAAACTATAACTGTTTGGAAAGCAAAGGCTAAGTTAAAAGCAATGCATGAAATTGTGTTGCAAAAAAGATTGGAGCAACTAAGGAGAAAACAGAGACAGGAGGCTATAAAAGTACAAGAAGAATTAGAAACAGCACTTGCATCACATAGTGTGCAGATTAAAGCAGAAGGGCAAGGGACTATTGACAATGATGCAATAGAGGAAGAGGATTATTCTTTGATTGAGGAATATGATAAATTAATGAGCCCAAGACCTTTTGACAAATTACCCAGAGAGGATAAACAATGTGAAATTGTTGATCTTGGCGAAGATATGAAATCATTGGTATGTTAATTTTAAATGAAGAAAATCTATAAAATTTTTAATACTTTGCTTATTTTAATTTTATTAAAGAGAGAAAAACGTAAAGAGGTTCTTCGTAATCAATTTATTCCTATGAAAGTTCAGCAAAAGAAACCTACCGTGGAGGAGGAGGAAGAATCATTAGTAAGTATAATTCGAGGTTTATTTTGCTACTTTATATATTATTGATTTTCTAAATTATTTTGATATATAGGTTTCAAAAGTATTGTACGAGCGAGAGGCTGCTAAAGATTTGGATGAAGATGAAGCTATATTTAATATAGAGGAAGAATTAGCTAAAACGGTGAATTTTCAATTTTATATAATCAATTTTTAACCAGCCTTCAATTTACTTATTAAATAATTTATTTAGACATATCTATGGCAAGATAAATATCGTCCAAGGAAACCACGATATTTCAATCGTGTTCATACAGGATACGAATGGAATAAATATAACCAAACTCATTACGATAGCGATAATCCACCTCCAAAAGTTGTTCAAGGATATAAATTTAATATATTTTATCCCGATTTAATTGATAAATCAAAAGCACCAACATATAAAATTGAAAGAGAACCTGGAAACAATGATACAGTCTTGATCAGATTTATGGCAGGACCTCCTTATGAAGTATGTATGAAGTTTATTTTTAATGTTGACAGCTTAGATATTTTAAAAACTTGTCTTCTATCATTTAGGATATTGCTTTTCGTATTGTTAATCGTGAATGGGAATATTCTCACAAAAAAGGCTTTAAATCAAGTTTTGATCGTGGAGTTTTACAGTTACATTTCCATTTTAAACGTCATTATTACCGTCGTTGAGTAACAAAGCCGAAAGAATTATTAAATTCAGATCAGAGAACCATTGATAATACTTTAGTATCTCTTGAATACTATGCTATTTTTTTTTATAAATTAATGTATTTCATAAGAATAAAAAAAAATTTCTAATAATAGTACATTCATAATTTAATGCAAATTTCGGAATATCACAAGAAAATTGTTAAATGTGAAGCTTAATTTATTTGAACAATCAATAGCTTAGAAATTTATCTAGTACTGATTCTTCTCTCGATCGCTTTGTCAGCGATCGCTACATTGTATAGATGTTACACTGATATTAAATAGTGAATGTTACTAATTATATTTGATTAGTAATATGCGGGTGATTAATAAATTAATTTCCGTATTATATATAAATAATATAATAAACGATTATCCATAATTTCAAAATTTCTAGTGTATAATATTGTACAATTCTAATGTTTCTTAAGCCAAGTAGGCATTCTTGCGTAATCGATAATTAAAATTTCGTACACCAACACAATGGTAAATCCTCAATTACCAGAAGGCACACCTATAAATTTTTGTTAAAAAGTTAGCAAAGTATATATAATAATTGAATAGACGAATATAAGACCTAATATTACCATCCGATATAGCATTGACACAGATTCTCAACTGAAATTGCTTGTTGAATTAATTTTTCAACCTGTGAAGGCACATCTAATACTTGATTCGGTTTAAAATCTTTGCCTACAATTAATTATTAATGAGAATTACTATTTATAATTATTTAAGATATAAATTCTTTTAGGCCAGTCCTAACCTGTTAACTTATTTGAAATACGATTAATTATATCACGGGCACGACGATTGCTTGAACCTGCTACTGCATGCATGTTTTCGCCATCTTATAAAGTATAATAGCATTAATAAGTAACTCAATTATAATAGTAATAAAGATAAAGTAAACAAAGATCACCTTGTCTTGGACTCGGATTAGCCATAATTCTCCAATTTATTAAAGGATCATGTACGAAAGCCTCAAGAACAGCCATTAAACTTTCCTTGTTCTTTCGTAATACACTCATCACGGCTTCACATGTAGTACGGAAATTCCCTTCTATACCACTTACTTCCATTGCATTAACTAACATGCGCGTTAAACGGAATGGAATTTTTTCTGGATATTTTTCACGAGTCATCGCAACCTATGATAGAAAAAGATTTAGTAATATAACAATAACACATTTAGCAGTATGTTATGTACATGTTATTATTGAAAATGTACCTCGAAACAATCACCAAAATCAATATGCACAATCTTCCCTGTATAACGATCAAGCATGATATTTGATGGATGTCTATCTCCCAATCCAAGGATATAGCCAACCATTGACATTAGTGCTAAGGATCGAGTATAATTAGTACGTCGCTCCAACCATGCCTCAGAGTTTTTACTCTTAAGCCATAAAACTTTATATAGATCTTGGCCTGTTGTATTAGCTAGGGCAAATTCGAACACTTCCACTTTTTCAATTATAGTGCATTGATCATAATCGGGTGCCATCTGCATACGATGTTATAAATTTGTATTATAAAAATAAAATAAAATTGAACAAACTAACTTAACTAACATACCTGTAGCATTAAACGATGTTCTATATTAAGGAGGATTTTTTTGCTCTCACGATAATCGCGAATTAGAGCGTGAAGAGTGTCACAATTTGGTACCCATCCTAAAAGACCGATGTTAGGTGTGAGAGGAGTAACAGTATATCTTTGTATGTGTAAATGTCTCTTAAATGTCTCAGAGTCTACGGAGAGGAGAGTATTAACCAAGCCGAATAATTGCATTACACGTTCGTCTTGTCGTAAATCTTCGTGACCTATTAAATATAATAAAGTATTAAAATAATTATTCGTAGATAATTATAAATAAATAACACGACTATTACCTTTTAACAAGAATTGATATTCTTTGCCATCATTACCAATCAAATTTAGTTTTCTAGGGCGCTGTTTAGAAGAAATAATATTGACTGTAGATATAAAGCTTGCTATTTTGGTTACAGGTTCTCCGCTTTTGTATGTACCTAAGAACAATTCGGAAATTTATAAATAAAAAAATTTTGTAAATTGTTATAAAAAATTATAAAACAACCTGGAACTGCTAGTTCTAAATCTCTCGCTGCTAGTAATTTCGGAGAAACATATTGAAGTTCAAGAGTAGTAATAGTTCCCACTTGTGCAGTTATTTTTTTAAACATCTAATTTTTGTGTTTATAAATGAGTATTATAAGTTATAAATATTTAGAAGATAAAGGAAAAATAAAAAAAATCTCTTACCTCGTGATATATTTGCCAGGCTTGAGATAAGAAAGTCATATCTCCCGTTTGCTTGTATTTCTTACACCATCCACCAGCTTCTTGAAGTTCCCTTCCATATGCTTGTACAAAAGCTACTTCTCGCAAAGTTTCAGGACCACGATCAAGGCGTTCCTGCAATTCATCCAATATATTGAACATAGCTTCGAAGTTACGTTCAATAAAGAATAGACGAGAGGCTTCTTCCAGATTTTCCATCCATATTTCATGCCATAGGATCGCAACACGAATAAGTTCTTGACTAACGAGTAAAGCCTAGGAAGTTTGATGGCATTGATTGTTATGGAGAATGGCATTATTATGCAAATAATGATGATAACATAAATACCTGATCGACGAGAACAGCACTATGTGCACGTAGTTTATCCATAACTGATTCAGCAGCGGTTTGTCGATAAGAACTCGGAGATTTCGAAGCGACAGTAAGAGGATAAATCAAAGCCTGAGGATGCTCCTTTCCGACCTCGGCTAGCAAATCGTGAATAAGACGGCGCACTTGTTGATTTGGAGCGTGAATGCGTGCAATAAGCTGCCGAATTTGTTTATATGATTATGAAAAAATATTATTATTAAAATAAAGGTATAAATAAAAGATAACATTTATTGCATGAGCAAACCTGTGGAATAACTTCAAGCCATGTATCAATATTGACATTACTGAATCCTTCTTTAATAGCATTGCATACTTCTTCTTGATAGCCATATTTGAACCAAAGAGTAAGCAACCGCAAAGTATCTTGCAAACAATTACCCCTTGAAAGAGCGATTGATTTAAAGAAACCTACAAAAATGAACTAAAGTTTAGTAAAAAAATTCACAGAAAGGCTTTAAATGATTACATTTGAACGATTATTTTATACCTTGAACAGATGGTACTACATAACGTAACACTTCTTGATGAATATCCCCGTTAACTTCTTCAGTGACTGTAATATTTTGATCGGCCGGCGTATTATTTTCGGTAGAGTTAGATTTCTCATAAAAAGAAATGACCTCAAAATTTGCGAGAGCCCATGCATGCCAAGCTTTATACCATTCTTTATCATATTGTGTTGCGAGTAAATATGATTGCAAGATATCTGGAATAGTTTCCTAAAAATTTTGCAATTCAGATATTAGGTAAATAATTAAGTAAAATGTTCAATTTTTAAACATACTCTATCCCAATCATCCTGTAAAACTTTCTGCCATTCTCCTTTCTTAAGGCAACAGCGTGCGAGTAAACCAGTGTTGCCGACTCGGTGATGATCATTAGACATTCTTGTCGTGAAATCACGTAAATAGCCTAAAGCTTCTTCACGAACTCCACTAGCCCACATCCATTTTAAGTGTGCGTAGACAACTTGCGGTGAAGCTCTCGCAAGAATCTATACTCAAAAAATTATTACAATATAGCGAACAAAATCAAAAAAAAAAAATGAAATTTCTTATATAATTAACATATAATTACCGATGAATGAATAACTTCCAATTTTTGATCGCCAACTAAAAGTTGTCTTAATGTTTTTTCCGCTAACTCAAGACGATCGCTCTTACGGCATAAATTAGCAAATTTAATCCACATTTCCATATTTTCCTTTGGTGAAATTACCAATGTGCGAACTTTGAGAATTTGTTGCCAAACATCCACGTTACGTTGGCACCCTTTAAGTCTACAATAATTTTATTTTATGAACATTAACAAAATAATTCAACGTTACCAATACGAGCTTTTTTGTCCTCGTTAAATAAAATTATCTTAAAATAAACATATCTACCTCTTCATCCAAGTTTTTCGGATGGTTGCCTGGCGATCAGGCTGATCTGCATATTGTTTGTATGTTATTATTTCTTCTAATTCCGCTAACATTTGAACACGAACTACAACACTAACGAAAATTACAAATTAGATTAAGTGATTATATATGTTAATCAAAAAAGTCATATTATGTCGTGTCTGTTGGTACTTACTTGTAGGCTCGATTATAACTTTCTCCAACGAGAGCTGTCAATTCTGTGTCTAATAAATCTCGAGTTTTATCAATGTGACGAACAGCCTCGGAATATTGGTTCTTATGTAAAGCAATAATAGCTTGATAGAATGGTCTATAATAGTTATCGGGCTTAATATTTTCAATGTAATCCTCCATTAAACTCCACTGGCCTAAAGACCATGCACCAGCAGCTGCGAAAGTAGCCATTGACTTGCGATTTGTAATATCCGATTCGGGCCATTTTTCTTGGACAAGTTCGGAAAGCCCATCCCAATTACCCAGTGAGTGTAAGCAACGCATCACACCAAGAGTTGCTTCAAAATCATTTGGATCATCAGTTCGCCTTTTCTCATATGCTGTCAAAGCATCCTCCCAACGATTCAACTTTTCGTACCAATTTTCTTTTAATTGCAAATCCTGTAAATTTGGATTCTGTTGTGCATGTGTAAGTATACCTATGGCAGCATCTGGTAATTGTAGTTGATTATTGATTTGAATCAATTTTTCAATTGTTTCTGTGGACGCTTCACTTATAAATTCCAATTCCTTATAGTGAAGGGCTTTAGCATACGCATGACAGTTTTCTGCGTGATTACCGAGTGTTTTTATGTCAATCGGAAGAGGTTTATCATAATGTTCCATAAATTCAGCCAAATTTAAAATGGTCGAAACAATTTCTGCAGGAATATTTGGTGCTCTCAATGCAGACATTAAAGAACTTACTAATTCATCCTAGAAAAGTTTGAAGACAATCAATAATAGTAAACCTACCGAATGCGATATAAATTAATTACAAATTAAAATGTTGATTTTAGGTTACCTTATATTGGTAGTATAATTCAGACCAACAAGATATGAATCCTGCATTAAATAATTCTCTCGCAAGTTGATGATAAACGCCAGCTAAACTTGCACACGCTCTAAGAGCATGTGATGGAGATTCTTTAAGTAATTCCACACTTAATCTACGTATCCATTCATGCCAATCATCTTTAGTAGATCTTTGAGAACATTCCCATGCATTTTTCAAATGCTGCTGGTTGACTGGCAATTTTTTAGCATTTGTTTCTGCTGCGGGCGTTTCTTCTGCTCTTGATTCATTAAATCTTTTACCGAAATAATAATAATATATATGTAAATATGTAAAATAATTATATTCCGTGTATTTTCATAATATACCTTTCTTCACTTCCAAATTCTTGCGGTAATGGTTCTCCTTTAAGAAGTTTCGAAACTAGAATCTCATAATCATTATTTTGTATACGATGTTTCAGAATTACCTTATACGAGAATTTAATTAGATAATTAAATAAAATTTAAGCAAAAAAGTGTTAAAAATATAAGAAAATATTTTTTTTACTTTATTTATCATTGGAATAAATATAGCATAGTCCGATCCGAGTTGAAAAACAAGAGCGCAAAGCGTTTCCATTGCAGCTATCCTCAAATCACCATATGGAAGTGCTAACACACGAGCTAATGGATGAATTATTCTAGATGCATGATCCGAAAAATTAACTTTTTTAGACATTGAACCAATAGTTTGAACTGCTGCTTTGCGAAGTTGAAGTGGTACATCTGGCTTCTCAAAAAGCTTGACAACAACAGGGATAACAAGATGCATATATTCTTCAATATTTGTACCAAATACTACAAGAGCATGCAATACTTTAAGAGTTGGCTGACGCTTTTCACTCTTATCTTGGTCAAATATTTGTAACATTATAGGCAATAACACTGGCAAATGATTTTTAAATTCACCATCAAGAGCCTTGGCAATTTCTTCAACAAGGTTAATAATTGTTATCTGAATTGTGGAACTTGGATTCCAGAAATTCTCAACCAAAGCAAAAATATCGGAAAGATAATTCCTGATGTGTTGTTGAACAATAGAAACCAGGATACCTAATTGCTGGAAATAGAATTCAAGCATGCCGGAGGGGCACGTACGCATCACTCCTAAGAACGCAGGTGTAATCTATTAAAATTTTTTTTAAAATGTTATTAATATAAACATAAACATGAACTATAAAAATAAATGAAAACCTACCTGTGGTAAGAAGGGAACACATTTCAAGCTTAATGTTTTGAAAATATACATTACAGCTTCAATAACAGCGGTGTGATGGGCATTTAATGAAGAATCTCGAAGAATTTTCATTAATGCATTAATAACTACGGTTGGATAGTAATCTTCTGAAGAAGGCCCTAAACCTATCATTAAAAGTGTCACATCTGTATTTGTTGTTTTAGGATCCGATAACGAATCTTCGGATGAAGCAATCGTTATCTAAATAGTATGTAAGTCGATTAATAAAGTATAGAAGTATTTATAAATTAATACAATTGATTATAGGAAATATATTAATACCTTATGACGATAAGGATCTAATGCTCCGAGAATTCCCACTAATTTAACAGTTTCGCGTCTGATGGAAGGTGACTGTTCAGTCTTTAAAATGTTGATTAGAATAGAAAGTAATTGAGGATATTTTTGATATGGCTCAATTACAAAACCGGTGTTGCTTGTAAGTTGTCCCAAAGTTTTAAGTGCAGCGTCTCGTTTTACAGTTGAACTTTGATCTTGGAGAGCATCAATTATCAAAGGCATCAAATTATCCAAATATGGTGTTAAATCTTCACCTCCAACACGCGCTAACTCACCAAGTGCAGCTAATACACTTGATGCTACAGCAGGGTTTGGATCACGAGATCTCGGTAAAAGGGCTTTTAATATCGATTCTACATAAGGTTTTATTAACCTTTGTGAAGCCGAGACCAAAAGACTCAACAGTCGTGCACTTTCTTCTTTATTACGGCTATAAAGAAAAAAAATAATTATAACAGATTACAATAAAATAAATAATATTAGAAAAGCATGTATAATGATTTTTTATTCTCACCTCACGCTGGAATATTCTAGCTCCGTAAGAAGCTGAATGAGCGTTTTACGTAATGATGGCATTACGTATGCTGGATTATGGGAAGCAAGACGACCTATAATGGTAATTGTAATTTCTCGAATAGTAAAAATTTCATCATTCAAAGCAAGGAACAACGATCGAATATTTTCAGCTTGTGCCAAGTGTTTATCAAATCTCTCATTGAGATTTTTCAACACAGTCTCTCTAATATTCGGATCTGAATTAACAAAGAAATATTAAAAAACAATAAAAAAAATATTACTTAATTCAAAATAATCAATTTTCTTTAAATACCAGGATCTGCAACACCAACTGTTAAAAGCTTTTCCAATACTTCATTAACTACTAAAATAGCGTGATTACTAGTTTGGTCCAGTATTGGATCTCGAGCAAATAACTGACAGCAAGTCAATGCAGCTGCTTCTCGTACTCCATGGTTATCTTGCTCAAGATACCGAACTACACAATCTCTTACAAACTCATTTAAAATGTGGCCTTCAAAATTGAAACTCCCGAGTGTCTTAAGAGCTAATGTTACCGTCTCTACATCTTTCATTTCTGATATATCAGTTTTAAGGTGACGTCTTAAGTCAGGTCCTTCGGATGCAGGTGATCCAGGGGCACGAAATGTTTGTCCGCTAAGAATTGTAGATAACATATTCAGAAGACGTTCTATTTAATTGTAAAGCAATTATATTTTAATAATAAGAATAGAAAGAATATAATCATAATAATATAAAATTTGGAATAAAACCTTGAATATTCGGTAACAAAGGAGGAATAAATACGGCCAGCTCCATTAAAGCTTGTCGCAATGGTTCACTTAACCCACATGCAAACATTAAATCCAACAGTTCATGCATATGCATGGTAAGTGCCTGACCAACAGCACGCGCCAACATCCCAATACATTGAAATAATGGAGCTTCGTTACCGCCGCGGTTTCGTGCTTTAGGTGTAAGCCCTTCCTTAATATTGCTTAATATGCCATCTAAATATGGACCTATATTACTACCTACGGCTATAGCCACTTGTCCTATAGCAATAAAAGCTATTTTACAATATTATTACTTAGTTATAAATTCCAAAATAGGGACATCTTTATTGAATAAATCATACGTACATATAGATCTGTCTCTTTCTTTTTTGAGTTGTGCTAATAAATATAGCATGCATTTGTGAACATATGTAGCGACAAATTCCTTGTTGTCAAATTCTGCAAGAACCGGTATTAAAGAAATCACAGTTCTCCGAATAAGACCATCACGATGATCTTTATAGCGAAGCACAGTTTCACACACATTCTTATACCTTTCATGCATAAACTAGTAATTAAAATTTGCGGAAAAAAATCAATAAACTTAATTAACTGTAAGGGAAGTATTAGTTTAGAAAAGTAACGAACCGATTTTGCATGATGTAATAATTCTCGATATGCTAATAATGCCCCATGAATTTGATCAGCATTACCGGGCTTTAAATTTCTTGATGCTTCATCATATATTTTTGTATACCATTGAATCCTCATTGAACTTTCACGCTCATATACAATTTTCAAACATGCACTTAAAGTCTCTGCAGAAGCCTCTCGAATTATCTGTTTTTGATCTCGTAATCCAACCCATATATTGTCCAAAATTGATGATACATAAGTATATATTAAAGTTGGCGCGTTTTGCGCTAATTCTCGTAATACAAGGGCAGCAGCATACCGACGCGATTCATTTCGGTCACCTTATATAAATATTATTTTAATATTATATGCGTTATATAAATTCGATCGATCCGTCTCCTACCTTGCAAATACTCCAAAGCTGTATTTACTTCTCGCGACACAAATATAGCTGTTACGGCACCACTTGGCGCAGCCAGCTTGCCTAATGCTTTAGATGCTAAAATCATTATTTGTTGATCACCGCTTGGAAGAACCATTTTTAAGTAATTCGTAAAACGGGAAAGAGTTGTCGTTTCGATATTATTATTTATCAACGAGTCTGGAAGAAAATAATTATAGTTCCATGAAAAATTTTCAAGTCACTAAACAGATTAATTACCAAAAAACTTTTACATACCAATTGCAAGAATGCCACCAATTTTGTCTGGAGTATCTCCCTGCATCAATTCAAAAATTCGCTTATTGGCTTCATTTAATAAATTAGGTTGTCCTTCGACCTATTTTAAAAAAACATGTTTATTTATCAAAAATCGTGCTCGATAAATAAATAAATAAATAAAAGTCTAAATTATATGGTTACCAAAAGTCGAAGCTCTAAAGCCGCTTTTTGTTGAACAGCCTTGTCTCTGTAAAAGGCGATTTAAACAATTTAGATCAAATTAATCATGCCCTATTATAGAACAAATATGCCTTACTTGTTTTTAAGTCGATTGATTATATCGTCCATAGTAATAAATATTAATCGATTCTAAGTATTGACGATTATTTAAAGAGTAGATTTTTAAAAAATTAGATCGGCGTAACTGATAGTTAAAATTAAATCATGTGCATTAAAATATTCATGACTTAAAGACACATGATTTTTTTTATCACTTACTAGGTTACAAAAATATTCAGAAAATACTCTTTGTGGGAAGGAAATATTTCATTCATTTTTCTATTATAAAACATTATGGGTTTATGTTTATCTGCTGAAGAAAAAGAATCGCGGTTACGGAGTTATCAAATTGATAAACAGATTGAAGAGGATAGCCGGAGATTCAAGAAAGAATGTAAAATTCTCCTGCTAGGTATATAACTCATCTTTGCTTGCCTCGTTGGAAACTCGACGCAAGCAAAAGAAATAAATTTTCTTCTAACTACTGATTAAGAGTTAGAGGAAAGTTGCAACAACTAGTTAATTAGTTTTCTCAGTCGGTTTTTTCGGGGCAAACCGTAGCATTTACTTGCGCATTGTCATTTACAGGGTCAGGAGAATCGGGGAAGTCAACGATAGTTAAACAGATGAAAATAATACATCAAAACGGTTATACAAAAGAAGAATTGGCACTTTACCGGATAACAGTTTATAAAAACCTTATTGACTCAGCACAAGCCATTATTTTTGCAATGAAGAAATTTCGAAAAGAGCCTCGAAGGCCCGAAAACAGAGTGAGTAATTTATGAAATAAATGTCAGAAAATGTATCATGTTAAATCCAACATTATTACTGATTTGTTTTTTTTTTATTTTAGGCTTTTGCTGATAAAATTTTGGATTATTATGTTGAATCCGACCCAGCGTTTCAACTAAGTCAAGAAATAGTTGAAGCAATTGATTCTGTATGGCATGATCCAATAATAACAGAAATTTTGGATCAACAAAGCCATTTTTATTTGATGGATTCAGCACCTTAGTTAGTATATGCTATATATGATTATACGAAACTATTAGATAAGTTCATCAGAATTGGGCATTTACTTACATTTTTTAATTGTTTTGATAATTGTGCGATTATAGCTTTTTTGCTGAAGTAAGGCGGATTGGAGCTCATGGTTATATTCCAGTTGAAGCGGATGTTTTGCGCGCAAGAACCAAAACTACAGGAATATCAGAAACAAGATTTAATATGGGTCAACTGAGCATACAGTACGTTTTTTTTTTTAAAAAAAAGTAAATAATATGTGTGGAGCGAAGCAACTTCTTATCAATATTTTCCTTAATTATTGAACGAATACTTTATTTAGTATGTTTGATGTAGGAGGCCAAAGATCAGAGCGAAAAAAATGGATTCATTGTTTTGAAGCCGTCACATCAATTATCTTTTGTGTGGCATTAAGCGAATATGACCAAGTTTTGTTAGAAGAATCAGGCCAGGTGTTATTATTATTATAAATAAAATTTATATTTTTTTAACGAATTTATTAATTTATTAACAATTATTGATATAATTCTTTTTTTTTTATTTCCACTATTAGAATCGTATGGCAGAAAGTCTCATATTATTTGAATCAGTTATTAATAGTAGATGGTTTTTGAGAACTTCAATTATTTTATTTCTTAACAAAATTGACTTGTTCAGAGCAAAACTACCGAGGGTACCTCTTGAACAATATTTTCCCGAATATTCCGGTAATTCATTTATTTCGTATAATTTAATTCTGTTTCTCTATTATTAAATTATGAGTCTCTCTTGTTTAGGGGGTGCTGATGTAAATAAAGCCGCAAAGTATATATTATGGCGATTCACACAAACCAATCGAGCTCGACTCAATATATATCCACAGTGAGTAACATTTTCACAATTATTTGATCATTTAATTGTACAGGAATTAGTTATATTTGACTTTTTATCTGTATTTGAAATTTATGATAGTCTCACACAGGCTACTGATACATCGAATGTAAGTAAAAGTCATTAAGTGGTTTTTATACTGTTATATTTTATGATACTAAAGTTTTTTTTTATAAATTCTACTAATTTTATTATTTAAAGATACGGTTAGTTATAATGGTTTTTTTTTGTTTTCTCCCTCTAATAGTTAAATTATATATTAAATTTCTTTACACTTTTTTTAGACTTGTTTTTGCGGCCGTAAAAGAGACAATTTTGCAGAATGCATTGCGAGATAGTGGTATCCTATGATGGATGGAAATAAATAATTGTATTTTTTTTTTGCACTTGCATTTGCATTTTCCTTTTTTTATTTTGTAATATGATATATTTGTATATTGCACATTTAATTTGCGGGATGGTGGTGGCATTAATAAAGCCGTTGGCTATTTTAATGATCATGGCATTTTATTTTATGAAAGTAAATGCAAATGATCTGAAATATCTGAGACAATATAAACATAAATATGTTAGATATTTGTTAATAATTCTATTTATTAGTAACAAATAGGATTTATAACAGATATCCATAATTGATTCTAAATTAAATTAGCAATGTTTATTTTTAATTATATAAATATTTCAGTAGTGATTGTTTATAATTCTCGAACTGAAATTCTTTGTAATTATATTTACCTTAATAATTATTATAAAATTTCTGTAATACATTTTTCAAATAAAATTTTTCGCTTTATTTAATTATAATAATAAATTAAAAATTAATATGATTCGAATGCCACGTTAGCAAATAATCTCAATTACAAATTTTAAAGTCGGAAAATAATTAAAGTTTGATTACATTTTTTTGTACTAAGGATCTCCAAAAGTGCTAACCGAGATTAGAAAATACTCTTAATACACACTACACACTGTCTCTTATACACATCTAGATGTGTATAAGAGACAGCTACACACGTGTAAATGTTTTTTTTAGAGGGAGTTTACATAAATTCCGAATGGATTTTTTTTTTTTGACGAGAACTCGCAATTCTACAATTCTACGTAAAAAGTTGAATTAATAATTTATTATAATTATATTTTATATTTAATTAATTAAATTATAAAATATTATAATTTATAAGTTTTTCCATTTTCAATTTTTTCATATTTTAAAAAAGTTTCTTCAAGATTCACGTTCTGTAAGTAATGGAGAGTAACAGTAATGGCCGTTCACGTCCAGTAAGCTTACCTAAAGCTCCAAAGAAAGGTGGAAATATATTGCTCCCTAAGGTAGTTCAGACTCGTAAACTTGTAAGCCAAATATTAAATGACCTAAAAAAAAGGAAAAAACCTCCTTCTCCTTTTCAAAATATGGTTAATCAAGCTGATTCATTTCATGAAGTTAATACAAATCCAAATCTGCAAAATTTTTTTAATACCGATGATACTTGCGATTTATTAAGTCAACTTAGAGATGTATTGATAGTTTGTTCGATGAATGGAATTTACTTTGGAGATAGGTAATCCTTTTTTGATGTGATGCATTTTTATCTTTGATGTAATAGTTGCGTGATTGTGATTATTTATTAGATTAAAATTTAATATTATTAGAATGTCTGCCACGCCACCTGAGTCTCCCTATACTTCACGAGACCCTTCACCAAATCGATCTCGTTCGCCATCGCCATCACGATCTAAACGCGATTTATCAAACCGAAACAAAAGTTCTGGCATACTAGAACGCATTTTAGAAGTTTTATACGATATTGTTCAAAATGATTGTCGATATAAAGTTATTACTCCAAGACCATCTCGCCCACCTAATGCATTACAATCAATAGTACTTGATGTCGCTCATTTACTGGTTAATCAAAATCCATATTCGCCGGGTTGGTTGTATGAATTGGGGATGGCAATGATGCCAGGATTTAATATTTTTAATGATGTTTTACGTGCGAAGCTATTGATATTTTATGCTGATTCCTTAATTCCACAATTGATTGCTTGTCAAAGTGATACGAGTGATGATATAATTGTCGCCTCATCTTTGCGTCGTGGGAAGTCCAATGGAAAGATCACTACGAATGGCAGGTTTTAACGAATCTAGAACTGAATTTTATTCAATATTTACTCATATTAAAATTATTTATTCTTGTAGAATTTGAAAATTCATCATACATAAACATAACCATAAACTCAGAAGATCCAATACCACCCGGTAATTTACCAGATTCAGAACATTTACCTAATTCTAATGTTGATAGATCAGATGATGAATATAGTTTTAATCGTAGACAAAGCGCGGCTAGAAAGTTATCAAGGAGACTTTCTATTTCATATACTGGAGATCTTGACATTGATGCTTATTATGTTGATTCAATGTTTACTCCTTTATTGTATTCGATTATACAATTTATTTCAGTTGAGGATTCTCCTTTGGATACATTATATCAGATGCATCGGACTATTGGAATTATGATTCTATGTAAACCAGACCTCTATAATGATGTTATAGAAATCATGGCACATGGTGATACAATGAGTCGTAATCGGGCTGTAAACATTCTATTTTATTTTTGGAGAAATAGTACAGGGCATCCTTCAGTTGGAGAAGCACTGCCAAACGTGGGATATATGCATGATTTGTCGGTTAAGGAGAAACAAAATGATACATCAATAAAAAATTCAAAGAGAGCTTCAATGTCTGTTATAAAAGATGTTCATCTCCACCAGTTTTTGCCGCACATTTTCCTTGACACTCGAAACGGTAAAGAAAATAAACACGCTTCCCTTACTGTTACAAAACATGCTTCTATAGTAGATATGCATGGTCAATTTATACCTACTGAACATCCAAATGCGTGTGTTCAATGTTTTAAGCCAATATCTGGTTTTGGTTTACGGTGTGGTGGTTGTAAGCTAAATGTTCATTTTACATGTTATAATTTAGCTGATGGAGAATTTTTGACAGAGTATTCAGTGGAATCAGGAGAACACAAATTGTATAAATTGTCAACTCCAAGATATTGTGATATAACTTACGGTCAAAGAGAGGTTATTTGTAATGATTCTTTGAAAAACATTGATTATAAAACTGCCATTATTTCAAAGACTGTTTCTGGACACTCTTTTCGCCTTGTGAACCTTTTTACTTTAGTATTATGTATGGTGTGTCGCATGCCTTTATGGGGCGTGATGCATCAAGGCTATCGATGTGGATCTTGTAATAAGTTTATACATTCTCGATGCATGAAATCAAACGAATCGGAAGTACAATTTGCTTGCCATTCTCCATCCATGAGTGAAGGTGATGCATTGATTGAGCATGAAATGCTTCGACTTAGTTTTAAAACTTATTACGAAAATATCTTGGTACCTGAAGAAAGTATTTCCTCTTATAGTTTTGAAGAATTATCCATAATGATGACAACATTACAAATGCAAGAAAATATATTAAATAATGGAATTATAGCAGGATGTTTGATTATAAAACAAAAATATCATAATCCTCTTTTTCCACGATCAAAGCAATTCGATAAATTTGAATTACAAGAGTATTCGGAACTTTACCAATCATACCTTGAGGGAAGAAAATTGCCATTATCAGTAATAACAAATGAATATTGGGAAGGTATTAGTAAAGAACCTCCTTTATGGATAATTTCTTGTGAAGATTATCTTGCACATTTAGCATCCATTATTAAAACTTCGTATGATTCAGAACCAGGATTTATAGATAGTCATTTAAGTGTTTATACTGCAGCTACGTTAACAATACCTTCTCCAGATGATTCTAACAATCCTGCCGGGATTTTAACTATAAAGGAAATGATGAAGTGGTTGCAAAAAAACCTTGGATTTCATAATTCTTATACTTCAAAGATCTTATTACAACAAATGGCTAACTATGGATTTTTAGAACGAATTGATGGTCATCCCATATTATTTTGTGACGAATCCGTAGGGGAAATTTTGGATCATGATTGCACTTTTCCATTACCATTTGCAATTGAATGTTCTCCAACCGTAGAGTCTTTAATAACTGCAATTACTGCATGTTTATCTGATATTAACATTTCCATAAACGAATGTGGATTATTATTGATGACGAAACGTTGTTGGCCAGATTCTTTTCTATCAAGATACATATTGGAGAGATTAATCTATGCTGTGATTGAATGGGTATGCAGTGAAGATGATAAATTACTTATAATTGCTCGTGAGTATACTCCATCTCAGCTCAAACTTCCTGGAGTTCGTGATGAGATGGAGAATAAAAGAAATGGAGCAAATCAAAGACAACCATCGGCGATGCCAAGTGTTGCTGGAGGTGGTGCTTATATTGTTTGTCGTAAAATGTTGAAAGAAAAATATATAATAAATTGGATGTCTGCAATTCATGATATGAATCAAGGATTGTTTTGTGACATAGTTTTCGATCAAATAGAAATGTTGTATGAAAATAAAAGTGAGCAGGATGTAATAACGGTATGTATAAAAGAATTACTGCTATAAAATGATCTTCCCATCTTATTGAATCATATTATATAATTTATAGGAAACTGAATTTCAGAGCCATGATCGTATATTAAAGTGTATGATTAGATTATGGCACGCAGGTTTACTTTTCTCTGCCTTTAAAGATATGATTGCACGATGGTTAGATGATGTTTATCATATCATGAAGCATCAATCTAATGTATGATATTCTTTTTTCTTTTTCATTTACTATAGTGATTTCTAACAAATTGTTTTATATTTTAGATTTTTGTGGAATTGAAAACCTTATATAAAATATTTAATGCATCAAAATCATCAACTTATCGATATAGCACTACAGATCAAATATTGTTGTCGACTGAGAATAATAACAGCGATGTTACAGATCCAATTTCCTTAGTTACACAGCTTTTCAAAGAAGGAGATGCTGTTGAATTAACTCGAGCATTACAGTGGATGGAAGTGATGGTTCGTACTGGGTAAGTATTATTTATCCTTTATCCATTTATCCGATTTAATTCTAATTGATAAATTTTTTTTTTGTAGTATTGGTCTTCCAGGTTCAATATTTTCCGATTTCCTTCCACTTTTAGCCAACCTTTCACCATCAATCGAACAATACACTACATTTATGGAGGTTATGTGGTATCAAGTTATGATTGGTCTTGGACATCTACTCGTGCGAAGTAACATCCAAAGCATTATATCAGATGTCAATGAAGCGGCTTTTGAAATGATCAAAAAGATAAACGAAGGAGGATATGGTGCAGAAATTGCAAGGTTTAAATATTTATGATTTTTCACATTTTTGTATATGTCATTCGCATTTATTTACATTATTTACTAAATTTAAAGTGCAAGATCCTTTGTCAAAGTTACAATTGTATTGGCTTTATACTCTTATAATTGCCCATTGGAAATGATATATAATGTTGGAATATTTGATTCATTACCTGAAAAGCCAATTAATTTAAGGTGGATTTCAAATATTTTTTTTTAGTTTTATATTTCCTAGCTTGATCGAAACTTAATGTTCATTGATGTCCATTGATTAATAGCCACCCAAAAAGATTGTCTAATTTTAAAGACTCGACTCAAGGCTCTAATCTTACTGCTGATGACCCTTTAATTCAATGCTTGTTGATGTATGCTAAATTTGATAAACTAGAAGTTCGTGGAGACATAGTAAAAGGATTTTGGAAATTTATCACATCTGCAGGTCTAATTTTCAATAAGAATGAATTTGTCAATAGTTGTATTCCTGAACTTCTTCCAAGGTAAATATGTATATTAGTAAAGTACAATTAATATTGAAGTTTATTAATTTTATAAAATGTTGATATAGTGTATGGAAGGAATTATCTCCCTTACATGATACATCATCAGATATAACTTTGCAATTATTGATGAAAATTGTTTGGGCAGATTCAAGGTTCTTTCTTGCTTCAGTCAGTAAAGTATTTGAACATTCTGATTGGGAAGTTAGGTAACAGTTTTATTAAAATTATATTATATATATTTTGAAATACTATTATTTTAGTTAATTTTAAAATTTTAATTTAAAGATTTGATGGTCTTGATAACTTGTATGGATTATTCTCTAAGTTGGATGAAAAACATGATATACAAGTAAGTGGAGTTTTTGCCTATCTAGGACCAATATTTAGCTATTTAGTCGGATGTTTATGGGACGAAGAGGTAGGTTCCTTTTTTTTTGTTTAATATACGTGAATTTTAAAATTCCATTTTTTTTTTTTAAAAAAAAAAAAATAAATAGTTAATTAAATAAATAAAATGTTTTTTTTTTGTTCTCATTTCTCATTTGTAGGAATTTGTTAGAACAAAAGCTATTACTTATATAAGATCAATGCAGCCACAGCACGTGCGTTTAGCTTTTAAATGCTGGGAAGGATATTTCAAAACTGCAAATGTTCGTGAAAAAACGCTATTGTGTAAATTAATGATTAAATTGAATGCAAAATTTCCAGATTGGGAAGGTTCGAAGTCATTCATGAATTTGTTCCAATGAATTGTTTTTTACGATAATATTTACCTGAAACTTTTTTTTACTTACTAAAGTTATTGAGTGGAATACACTATTAGATGCTTTAACTCAAAATGATGAGAATGAACAAGTTTCCACTTCCGATATTTTGGTATGAAAATTTAACTATTGTTTTAAAAATTCATAATTAATGTAATTAATACTATTTATTATTACTTAGGAAAGCTATATGAGACCAGATAGTATTTTGGTAATTGGGTTGAAACAAATTCAGGACGGTGGAAATTCTACTCCAGGACAAAGAGTTGCAGAATCGCAAAATCTGAGGGTAATTAATATGCATTAGTTATTCAGATAAATTATTAGATTTATTTATTATTTGTTAATTTTTTTTTAGGTTATAGTGTTAACACTTGCACTGCAAATGTTAGCAAATGGTATTGAAGTAACTCAAGATCAAATCATTAAATTAAAGCATTTGGTGTTAATTCATTTAGGATTTAAAAATTCTAAATTGGAAATGGTTAATGGAAAGTCAAATGTATCAATCGGAGATTTTGAATATATACCTGATGATTTTGCACAAAATATGATTATTACATCATGTTTGGGAAATCTTAAAAGAGTACTGGATACGCCGATTTACTTAAAGTCATCAAACAATATTTTAGAAGATACAAGATTAGCAGCGGAACAGGAAGAAGAATTAGCAGGTGGTGTTTTTGTAGATGTCGTATTAGCATTATTTAATTCTTCGGTAGACATGTCAACTCTAAGCCATCTTATGCTTAAGAATTGGATTGAGTTACTACTTATGATTGTTTATAAGGTAAAATATTTGTGATTTAGCAATTTGTATTTTTGATAATTATACTCTTAAGTTTTAATAATATTTTTTTTATTATAGCATAAGATTGAGGATAAACGCAATAGACAATTAGAAGAAAACTTGGTAAACGCTATGAGAAAAGCTTCTGAATTATTATCCAAAGATGTAACAGAAGAAAATAAACAACTTATCATAGAAGTTTCTACCACATTATTAAAAAGAGCACCTATGTTAACGGTCAATATTTTGGGAAAATATATTATTACGTTGGGAAAATTATTGACAAAGCTAAGAAATGATTCATCAAGTTCTTTGGTTATGAGCGCAAAAATATTTTTACGAACAGCGTTCATAAGTTTTGCAAGGAATGGGTTGTTTGTTCTAATTTTTAAGGTATTCAATTATTATGATAATGATAGTGTTTAAAAAAAAAAATTTTTTTAATTTGAATTTTATTTCTAAGAATCAAACAGTTGCGGATGAAACAAATACTGAACTAGACATGTTTAGAGTATTACGTGATATAATAAGAGATGAAGTTATTCCAACACATGATGAAAATATTGAACCGACTTATCTTTGTGTTGAACCAATAAGAGATGTTATAAATCAATTATTTAAGTTCACAAATCGTAAAATTGTATCTACTGTATTACATAACTTGAATAAATATGTGGAATTAGTTTACTCAAAACCATATAGTGAACAATTAATGATAGGTAAGCGGATAATTAAAAATAAATTAATAAATAAGTAAATAAATTTTCAAAAAAATAATTTATTTTCTTTTATTTATTTTTTAGATTTAGGATCATTTTTAATAAAGTTGAGTAAATATACGACTGAATGGAAAAGTGTCGATTGGGATGTTAATCCTATACTTAATATGATTTCCATTATATTAAAGAACAATCCGCTTCATGCGAAGGTATTTGTTTTATTTATTTATTTATTTACTTATCTTTTAAAAAAAAGATATTTTCAATTTTACCTTATTTGTATTTTCAAATAGCATTTGATTCACCCTGTAAGGAATTTCCTGAAACATGTAATTAATAAATGTGGACCTACTATAGAATCATTTGTAAAATTATTGGCAGCTTATAGTGCAATAAGTGAAGTAGTTTCACCATCTGATCAAAGTAATGCTTTTGGTGAAGTAATACTTGAAGAAATAAAAATATTTTATAGAGGAGCAAGGAATAGATTGAATAGAGATACATTGATAATATTATTACAGGTATTTAAAAGGGCACATAATACTATATATATATATATTTTTTTTAAATATTATATAAATAATTTTTTTTATAGCTTGTATTATGGGACATGCAACCATCAACGTATCCATGGTTTAGAAGCATTGAACAAAGAATTAAAGTTAATTCGTCAAGTCAACAACGAAGGCCTTTTTTTTCAAATGTATCGGAATATCTATTTGAGGATTGCACAAATTTTTTGGAAAATCCTCCTATAACGAAACAGTACTCGAAAAAAGATTTTAAAATCGGAGTATGTGCAAGTCAATTAGCTGTTGCTATGTGTAGTGAAAAATATGATCTATTGACAAAGATATTTTTATGGCAAAAGGTATTAAATTATTATTTTTTTTTTAAAAAAAAAAAATAAAAATATTTTAAACAATTTGAACTTTAATATTTATTTTTTTTTTTTACTATAGTCGACAGATTCTAGACGCACAATACGATTATTAAATTGGATATTATTAGGGATTTTAAAAGCAGATTCATCAACAGGATTAGTTACAACAATATTTGATTTTCAAGATAACATTACAGATTTATTATCACTTGCACTTAAACAACCATTTAATGAAGTAATAGCAGGAGATGTGAATTATCTTTATACACATTCAGGGGAATTAGCTTATCAATCATTTGTTTTAGTAAAAATTTGGACAGTGCTTTGCTTACAAACTTCGAAACTACAAGAAAATAAAATTAGCGAAGCACCTAAATTGCATCAAAGATTAGCTAACAATTTAACTATGGCTGAAAGAAGATTTTGGAATTCTATTTGGCCTAGTATTAGGAAACAATTAATTAGCGTTACTGAAGATAAAGATGTTTTGGTAAGGAAATATAAATAAGCATTTATTATTATTATTATTATTCAAATAAGATTTCATTATTTTTTTGTGTTTTTTCAGCCTAATGGAGTTCCTTATTGGGAAATGTTTATGGACTTGATAACATTTCTACATTTAATTGGAAGTGATATTGTTATGTTGTATTCTCAGGAATGGTGTACACTTTTGGATAGTCTTATTAATAAGGTAAGCATATAAAAAAAAATTTCAATTATCTATTTATTAAAACGATTTTTCATTATTTTTCATACAGAATGAAGAAGTAACAGAATTCCATCATAAGATAAGACAAGCAAGATCGATGTTTGATGATCCACCATTAAAGATGCAACAGGATATGTTAATTACTCAATTATTTGTGGAAATGAGAGAGGCTATGAGATTGTATTTCGAGATAAATAGTAGCAATGTTGGTGGTAGATTATTTCCGTATTATTAATAATAATAATTAATTATTTACGTAATTATATAATTTTATTAACTTAATTAATAAAAGTATTAAAAAAAAAATCCTATGCTACTCATTTAAAAATATATGTAGTCAAAACTTACTATATATCGTCTAATCAAATGTGTGAAAAAATATTTTTTTTATATTAATAATTTTTTTGTCATATAAATTATTTTAGTAAATGTACTGTTTGGCAAGTGATTAAAAATCGTAGTGAACATAAACATTCACAAATTTATCCTTTTTATACAGTCCGTCGTGCGGCAAAAGTAAGGAGATTTTTAACATTGTACGACTCAGTTTCCTTGATGTATTTATCACGTGATTTCTAGAAAATCTGAGTATAATCCCTTATGATTAATAGAGCATTAATATTCACGTTTCTGAATCTCATTTGTTTGATTGTAGAGGTACTTCTTTCTCGTTAAACAATAAAAGGAAAATAAACAATATCTCTAGATGGCGAAGTATCGTCTGTAATCGTCCGCTTCTATTGAAAGAGAGAAGTTTCAATCTCACTCATTATTCCCTTTAATAAGGCGAAAAAAAGATTCCAGAAATCAATTGCAATAGATAAAGATTTTCGAGATGGTAAAAAAGTAATAAAATTGCTCGAATTATTCTATGAAAATGATACCGAAGAATTACAAAAACCAGAACGTGGTAATAGTCGAGTTCATTATATACAAAATGTTAATAACGTAAGCATCTCATTTCTACTGACATTTAATAATGATAAAGATGGTTATAACCATGATAAATTCTTTCATTACGTCATATGGATTGAGATCATTACATAATAAGCATCGAAACTTGAATATTTTTTGCAAGAGCTATAATTTAGGTTTCATCTATACTGCTATCTTACATATAGGTGAAGAAACTTGAACGAAAAACAATCCAGCTTGTACCAATAAATCCGACTTTTTACAAAAAATGAGTAGCATCCAAATGGACCTTGGTATTGCCTGTGATAAATGATATTTCTACTGCGGATTATTAAATTTTTTCTTATACGTTCATTAATTGATGGGTTATCACTAAAAGACTACTCTTTAACAAGCCCACTATCACCAAAATTTTACATTTTTTTGTAATCCGGTTGGATTACAGTAGATAGCCATGATAATTTTACAAAGAAAGATGCAAGTAAAACAGAACCTTCCAAAATTTTCTCACCTGTTTGTGATGATTCTATGAATAAACTCGTACTTAGATTCATTTTTAATGTTTCCCTAAATTCATCTACATTAAGATAGCATGTGTGTAAGTAAAAAATAAATACTTCGCTTTTATTTTATTGCTTTTATTGAACTTTTCAGCTCCTGCTTCTCTAATGATATACTCATTTGCTGTGTCAATTGTTCAGAATCGCTAAATTTTTATTTTGGATTTTTCATTAAATCAAGCCATTCTTTAGCTAGTTTGGGTAATTGGTTTTAATAGTTTTTATTGTTTTTTAATTAGGGTTTGTTAACCAATTTATTAATAAATCATAAGTTATAACATATGTTTTATACTCTTTCCTTATGCTCTAGTATTTCAAATACCTGATTCTACATGTTTTTATGTGATAGTGGTCTAGCGATGAAAGATCATCTGACTTGAAATCAGGTTTTGTATATTGGTATGAAGTGTAAAAGATGAACTGTTGGCTGGCATGTTTTAAGACATTCAAGTTTTTTTTTTTGAAATAATTTTAATTATATCGAGCACAGAATTGATATTTTGGTAATAATCCTTATAATTAATGAATTTTATTAATATAACCAAATTTTTTTATTAAATAAAAACTATTATTAAAATTTATTATACTGCAGGAAGATTATACTTGTTCTTTTATTTGCAATTCTGAAAAAATCTATGGAGAAAGATTAAGAAATCTATTCTATGTAAATAAGGCTAAACGCTTCAATATACCCGGAAACACGTAAAAAAAAAAAAAAAATGCCAAAAAAATATTACATATTCAAATTACAAGAATAAAAATCAACTTTATTTTTTTTCGATCTTCAAATCAATTACAAAAATTCAATTGAGTCGACACCTCAAATCCTAAATCCATATTTATACCATACTAAACCATTCGGTAATCGGTACTATTACCTCACACATATAATTATTACTCTTCGGTTATATCAAAAAGTTCTTGTTACACAAATCAATAATCTGCGAAATCATTGAAAAGTTTATAAAATTTATATTTTTACTTTCTTCGAAATATGAAAGAAATTAACTATGAATGCTCATTCCTTCATCATCTATCTATTGCGCCTTTCTCAACATCAAAAAAATCAAGCTTTTTCATATCGGGAACTGTCCTAAATTACGAAATACAGAATCCTGACATTATATAAAACAACTACTGTAAATTCTGATTGACACATGTTTAAGATCTCGATCGCGAACCACAAAATCCAAATTCCGATACTTTGTCTATTTTGATACGCACTTTATTTCAAATTAATATATAATACCGAAATTTTGTATTCTGGAATATGTCGACATTTTTTTTGTACAAGTTGTTTCTTGATTTTGTTAATCGAGATGTAACATTGGCATTCTGAATTTCACCAGACCCGACTATTTACTAAAGTTTTTTGTTGTTAGCAATTACTAAAATATTAAACAGGAACAGCCAATTTGTTGTTAACAATAAAAAATTTTAGTAAATAACCATAACCATCAAAATATCATATGATCGGTATACTGCGGATACTAGATTAATTAATATTGAAATTTATCTGATATACGCAGTCGCAGTATACGCATCATATACACTCTATAAGACAATTTTAAATCAACCTATTTACTTAAAATCCTCTTTTCAAATAAAGAAAAAAAAAAAATATTATTTTTTTTTTTTGTAAATCTTTCTTAAACGATACTCCCATGACACATTGAAAATGCGTAGCGCGTAAAAAAAATGCATTATAAATTCGCTCTTTATTAGTTATATCTGAATTGTATGAATTTTTATATTAAGTATAAGTTATTTGATTAATTAAGATGTTGATAACATTTGAATGTATAATTAGTTACCATCATTCATTAATATAGACGAAAATTACATTCCATAGATTTGAATTCCCTTTTGTCATATTTATGAAGATTTTTCCCTTAAATATTATGGTATAATTTGATTTGGAAGTCTGGTATTCCTAAAAATTATCCGTTTAAAGCTGCGTGCTTATATCCAATGATATAAGTTACATATTAATTACCATGCTGTAATTGCTGTATGTAGATGAAGTAAAATATTACTTAGGGACTTATAATTGTTGCTTTCAATGCTTTCAATGAAAAAAAAGATTATCATGGATACTTCCTCTTCCAATTATTCTTCCTCATCGTCATCATCATTCCTCGCGTCCTCTTGAAGCTCGTTCGTGCGGCAACATCTTAGGACCAGCATAACCTACAATAACGATCGATACTGGCAATATATGTATAACTGTTGTATACCTGATGAGTTCTTAACATAATAAATGGAAAGTAGTACAATGATAAAATAAAGTTTAATGATGATACTAATAATACGCCGCGTAAAATAAGACCTCGAAATTAGATCAACGAACAATATCTTCCAAAACGTCTTGCCCCCTTGATAGATGAAACTGAGATTTTAGTATTCGAAAAATGTTTGAATATGATTCGAATTCGTTTCGCTTTTTCATGTAAATAATTTGTTCGTTAAAGAATCGCCAATTATATAATACCTAATAATAGAATTACACAATTACATGACATATGATACATTCGAATTAATGTTTGGAAAACCCGGTGAAAGCTATTCGAAGCTAACCAGTGTACTGTATATTGTATTACGTATATTATGAGTAAAGTGATAATGTGATAAATCAATTGTTCAAACTCTGATATTTCAAATTGCTGTAGAAAATATTTTATCCCAAATGAAACATGTGATGATATGCTGTACTTATTGTACTTATTGTTTGATGATTAGAGTTAAATATCAATAAATACCGAATTAACATTAGTCTGGCATTCAACGATGTACATAAACTTATTAACTTACTTTGGCGTCTCATAAATAAATGTAAACAATATATAACCAATCTGATCACATATATGTTGTAATCCAAACAACGACCATTTCCTAAATCAACATGGTAACTGAAACATATTTCAACCCTACAAACTAATTCCCTAACAGATAGGGGTTTTGGTCTGGGGCATAAAGTTCGTTCCCAAGTTGAATTATGACATAATAAACATACTAAATGGAAAACTTAAGTAGATTACGAATTCCCTAAACTAGTTAAGTTTGTGACTGGGGAATAGGGGCATAAGGATCGGTTGAAGTTGGTCTTCGATTTGGGTTAATTTTACCTTATGGGTATAAATTTACCTTATGAGTTTGTTTTGCTTTTGTAAATTGTGAATGGGATTTTTTTGAGACTTATTGAGGAAAAATCCTTTTTAAGAATTATCTTTGGGAGAATCACCTGTGAGAATTATCTTTGTTACTTTGCATGCAAGAATTATATGGTAATATCCTCGAACTATCCTAAAAATAGATTTATATATATTGAGAGATCCTGGGAGAATTTTTCCTTGAGAGAATTATCATTGAGAGAATTATCTTTAAGAAAATTAACTGAGAGAATTAATAATGCTTGCGAGAATTATCTTTGTAAGAATTTTTGTTTAATATATTTTATATATCGTATATCACGGCCCATAGATACCCGGATACAATTTTAAATTTTAAATTTTTTCATGTACCTATGTATAGCAGTGATGTGCATTGAAATATTTGGAATCTCCAATTCCAAGCCTTTCCAATTCCAATAAAAAAGTCGAAAGTATTTATAGAACTCTGTTTAATATACAGTACATGTATTCTATTTTAGATATTTATTTCTTCGTAAGAATTCTTTTTATTTTATATTTGTAAGAATATTGTTTATTTTTTTGTAGTTTGTAAGAATATTGTTTAACATATTTTATATATTTATTCTTTTGTAAGAATATTGTTTAATATATTTTATATAATTATTTTTAATAAAAAATTCTTTCTCGCTTTTTTTTTGATTCGCATTTCTTGCATGAATCATTACCCGGAAGATCATGATGAAGAATTCTTTGTTTTCTTTGTATTCATGAAATCTTTTGAAACATATCCTTAAAAATCCCATGCATTAAAGATTTAGTAAAAAAGTGTTATTTACATTACATGTGAAGGCTGTGAAACTGTGAAGAGTGTGAAGAATATGAAGACTAATGAAAGGTTATTGAAACAAAATAAAAAAAAGTTTAAAATTTTAAAATTTTTTTTTTTTCTTTCACATCTTTCACATCTTTCACATCTTTTTAAAATTTTATCAAAATATTTGTGATAAAAAAAATAATTACCAATGAATGATTAAAAATTTTTTTTTAGATGAATCAATGGCGTTATTAGTTAAAAATAATAATAATAATATATATATATAATAAGGGTTAGACACAATAAAACAATAATTTACATCTATAGAATTTCTTAATTTGGAATTCATTTCTAAATTTTCTTTTTGAGAATTCTTTTTTATTTATTACCTTATTATGGAGTCCTAAAAAGAATTTTAAGTAATCATATAACATTTATATAGGGAAAATATTGTCTTACTTATTAAGTAAAAACGGGTTAAATTAAGTTTAAAATAATAAATAAGAAATTCCGTCTTTTTCCAGGTATTCCAAGGTATTTCATTTTTTTTTTTTTTTTCTTATCAAAAAGATCATCTTTTTCTTTTTCGAAATAGTTTAGTGTATATTCTATTCTAGATCGACAAAAAAAAAAAATTTTAAAATTCTCTTACAGCATATTTACATTTATTTTATTTATTGTTGTATTGTATACGTCAAACAATAAATAAGTAAATAATATCTCCTGCATTTACTGCATTTATGTATTTTAATGTGGCCACTTAAAATTTGAAATTCGAAAAAAAATTATCAAATCAACGAGAGTAAGATATTGAAAAAATTTTATGAACATCAAATAAATTTATTATATTATTACAAATATATGTTATGTATATAGTTAACTAAATTTTTAAATTCTAATTTTTCTAATTTCTAATTTTCTAATTACTAAATTCTAATTTTTAAATTGACTAATTGCTAATTGTTATACCAGCTAACAATCCGTTGACATGGCATCTTTACCATTAGATAAATTATTTACTTCATAAGCCATCCTTGAAAAAGTACTATTTTCAGTACCAATAAAAATCCCACTATGAGCTGTTATTAATAAATCTATTAAAGGTATATAAAAATTTGATAAATTAATATTTTTATCATAATCACTTGATAAATTCTTTAAAATTTTTAAATCTTTTTCAAAATCAAATAAAGTAAAAATACATGATAAATTATTATAAAATTTTGAAAAATCTTTTTTTGGTTGATTAGAATCTGTTGCTATATAAATTATAGGTAAATTATTTTTTAAACATTGATCCAAATTATTATGATTTTTTTGATTTTGATTTTGACTTTGATTTTGATTTTGATCTTGAATTTGATTTTGATCCTGATTTTGATTATTATTAACATCATTATTATTATGATTATTATTATTACTATTATTATTATTGCTATTATTATTATTATTATTATTATTATTATAATTATAATGACCATCATAATTAAATAAATTTAATTTTTTAATTAATTTATTAAAAATTAAATTTATATTCTTTTTACCAAAATCTTTAAAAATCCCATCACCTAATCTAATATGTAAACCAAAATAATTATTTTTACCACCTAATTTATTAATAATATTATTAGTTATATTTAATATATTCTTATTATTAATAATTAATTTATTATGAATAAAATTTCTAAATTTTTTATTATCATCATTTTCTAATGATAATTTATAATGACTAAATAATGAAGTGAAATGTAATAATTTTTTTTTGATTTTTAAAAAATCTTTTATAAAGAATTTTTTTTGAAAATTTTCTAAATCCTCTTTTGATTTCTTATTATCAAAAAATTTATATTCATAAGTTTCATTTTCAATAAATAAATAAATATCTTTATTATTATTATTTTTAATATTTTTAATATTTAAAGTATTTTTTAATTTATTTAATGAAAAATTATAATCTCGATTAATCATTTTAATATGTTTTCTTATTTCACTTAAATCAAAAATATCTTCCCAATTCATCATTGTTAAATTATCATATTTTGAATATTTTTTATCATTACAATATTTATTATCATCATCATACTCATCATATATTGTTGTTGATGAACAATGATTTTTTCGATAATTTTTGGCTTCAATCATTTCATTTAAATTATTAGATAAAGGATAATATGAATGATAATGTGGTACGTAATTAATTAATACAGGTGGCATAATTAATGTACGATTTGTTATATATGATAACATTATTGCATTCATTAATGCTCCATGTTGATTGTGAAATCCACTATGAGGTAAATATGTCAAGAATTTTTCTGAGGGATCAATGATGATGGAAGTTGTGTTTGAAGTGGTTGTGGAAGTGGTAGTAGAAGTGGTAGTAGAAGTGGCGGAAGTGATGGGAGTGGTGGTAGTAACAGCGGTATCAATAGTATCAACAGTATCAATAGTATCAATAGTATCAATAGTATTAATATTATCAATAATATCAACGGTATCAATAGTATTATCAGTAGAATATGATGATGATGAAGTTATTGTAAATAAAAATTCGGTTGAAAATGTATAAAATGTTAAAAATAATGTTAATATTATTATTGGAAAGATTGTTTTAAATAAAAATCTGTTTCTTGAATGTAATCTTTCACGTGAATCGATTTTTTCATGAAACATTTTTTTTTTATAAAATGATTGGGTTTTTTTTATAAAATGATTGGTTTTTTTTTTAAAAAAAAAAAATTTGTTTTAATAATAAAATGTGATTTTGATTGACACAAATTTGAAAAACAATACAAAACTATTAAAAGAATTGAATTATTCAAAGACGAACACTGACCAAGACCTGTCTCTTATACACATCTAGATGTGTATAAGAGACAGATTCTAAAGAGAATAATACATTTGAAACTTTCTTTTATGAAGATCAAAACAATCTTCAATAAAAATATAAATCTCATTATACATATACATATATACATATATAATGTATGTAATATAATATAATAATAATATCTCGTATATCATCATCTACTGTACTTGCATATCTTTCTGAATAGAAACCCTGGTTTTTTTTTTGTTTGTTTTTCAAAACCTTTATTAAAATTAAATCGAACAAAGAGATCTTACATTAATTCCATTTCGATCATTTCGATTAGTTCCTTTGATGTAATCTGATGTATCTGATGTATCTGATGTGAGGGATTTATGTTAGTGTTACTTAATCATCCAGTAAATTTACATTTTTGATATTTTTTGTTTAATTATGCCAAGAAAAAAAAAAAAACGAGGTAAACGCCAAGAAAGATCACAAAGTTCACGTTTTTTACACAACTCACACAACTTCACACAAAACTCACGTTTTTTGGAAGATCATCTATATAATTAGTCAAAAAAAAAAAAAAGATTTCTTTAATTCTCAAAATTTTCAAGAAAAGTTTTTTTTTCTCATAAAAGAAATAAAAATACCAAGATATTTTTTTTTTTTTAATATCAAGGATCGTATATTTAAACCATATTTTACATTATTAAAAAAAAATAAAGTATATATAAAACATATACTATAAAATACTATAAATATTATAACAAAAAATTCATCCAAAAAAAAAAAAAAAAATTACTTTGTAATTTTTTCGTTTTTCGTTTTTTTTAAAAAAAATTTACACATGCAAAAAACTAAAAAAAAAAGAAAAAATATAAATAAAATAAGAAATAACAAAAAAAAATTATACATAAAATAATATTTTAGTTAATTAAAAATAAAATGATTTTTTTTTTCTTAACGTAGACTATTTTTCTTAACGTTGACCATTTTTCTTAACGTTGACCATTTTTCTTAACGTTGAACATTTTTCTTAACGTAGACCATTTTTCTTAACGTTGACCATTTTTCTTAACGGTACCCACCCTTCTTAAAATCTTGCAATATTAGAAAAAGTATTATTATCAGATTTATCATATCCTCTCAATTCAGCAAAAATTTTCGCCCTTTTGGAATCAGTGGGATCATTACAAGGCCATCTAGGTAATCCAATAAACTTGTCTGCTTTAATGCTTACCAATTTATCTATAATATCCCTAATACTACTTTCTTCAAGTTCATCCTTTAATGTATCTTCAAAAGATTTCATAGCACCCAAAGAATCTGCAGTATAATATGGAATTGTTGAAGTTATAAGTTTAATAGTTTCAGTATGAATATGAGAGAAACGATGAGTTGAACGAATAACTGGATGAGTGGAATTTAAAGAAATGATATCATTTAATCTATATAAAGGATAATCTGAAACAAAATATATATTTTCAATATCAGAAACATCAATAGTTTTTTGTACTCTTGATAAAAGTCTTGAAGAACAAATTGGTAAAGCAGGATCTTTTGTATTTTCAAAATCCCATAGAATAGCTATATAAGGTCTTAAAGAATTTATAATTTTTGTAGAAGCATCTTCAATAATTGATGAATAAGGTAAATGAGGAGGTAATTCATTTAAGAATATAGATTCTCTAATATCATGTCTAATTAATAATACATCAGAATTATCTTGTAAATTATTTAATAAAAATTTTTTTAAATCATTTCTACCATCAAATCCATCATCATTTACAATCCAATTATTCCATGATAATCTTAATAATTTAAAAGGTGTAGTATCATTTAATTTTAATTTAAATTTATCAAGACACCAAACTTTTTTTAAAGAATTTGAATAAGGAGAAATATTAACAATAGAATTTTCTTCACCTCCATCAGTTATATAATAATGAGAAGTTGAAGGTTTATCATATCTTTGATAAGACCATTTTTGAAATTCATCTTGAGTAATAAATTTTACATTAGGAAAATTTTGTTGTAATTTATTTATATCATAATAAAGACTGAATGGAAAAGGTTGACAAGTTGAAATCTTTTTAGATCTAACATTGGTTAAAACCATAATTCTTTCAAGTGATTCTGCCAATTTCACGTAAGTTAAAAATTCAATGTCCGATATTGAAGTATCCATATTTGGTGGAAAATAAGCTAATAAAAATTTACATTTTGATTCATTACAATATTTTCCATTAACCTTTTTATCATGTTCGTACACATTTGTTGTATGATTAAATTCATCAATATCAAATTTCTGTTTGATAGGTTTATTATTATTATTATTCTAGAATTGGCGGGAATAACGTTTTGCGGGAATAAGAATAACATTTAGTGGGAATAATGATTAGCGGGAGCGGGAATAAAGTTTAGCGGGAATGGAACAAAATTATATTAGTATATCATAATATGAAAATGTATTAAAAAAAGTATACACTTATTATATCTTACCTCATTGCAAAGAACTTTATTAACTTTTAAATATTCACCAGGAAATAACATTCTTGGTAATATTACAAACATGAAATTTGCAACGCTACATATAAATATTGCACAAAACACGAAATATGAAACTCTTTTTCTCGTATCCCTAGGGATTGAGAAAATACTTTTTTCTTTCGTCAAAAAAAAAAAAAAAAAAAAATTAATTTGTTCTTTTAAAATAGTATATATAAGTATTTGATGAAATGATGAAATGACCAAAAAGTTAATTAAAAAAATTTTATATATATTTTTTTTTTATTTTTTATATTTTGTTCTGATTAATAATAATAAAATGAAAAAAAAGAGAAAACTTTCACTTTTTTTTGAAAAAAAGGTACAGGATTTCAAAATTATTGCAAGTATTTATAAAGGTGACAAAAAGAAAGTTGTTATTTAGTTGTATTTTAAAAAAAAAAAAGTTTTACGAGATAAAAAAGGGAAGATTTTATTCATATATAACACCAATACAAAAATGACAATCGGCTAATTTAGATTAAACTAAATATGTACTAAACTAATTAATTGCGACACCATGTATATACTAACTCTATATAATAAATAAGAGTTCAACACAAATATTAAATGCATAAATAACCAATTAATAGATAATCTAATATGTATGACGCATTTATTAATTTGAACGCATTTTATAATTGTGACTTAATAGGTAACAAAACCGAGTCTTTTTGTCATACAAACAAAAAAAAAAAAAAAATTATTTATTATTATTATTAACAAGTTATTACGTTATTTTAATTTCATCCAATTATAAAATATTTTAACGATAAAGTTTGTAAAAAAAAAAAATAGGGAAATAGTAGATATTACCATTTTTAAAAAAAAATTTTCCCTTCTTTTAATCGTTAAATTGTATTACATTTTTGAAACACGAGATGTTGAAGTACTTTGCATCAAATCATCACACATGTCAATAAACGCGTCAACTAAACTTAAAAATACTTTAAAGGTGATGATTTAATGATTATCACAAATAATTATTATCATATCACCAATTCGGATAATTAAAAATTATATGTAACAATGGCGTTGACTCTTTTGTGTACCGAGTAATAAAAACATATTACTAACTATTATATAAGAACGGGAATATACGTAGATGGATGAATGAATTATATTTTTTTTAAAGACATAACCGAATCCCCTTTTTTTTATAAACGGCGTTTATGGGAACGTGGCGCAGGTTCTGAAGATCTGTGCACAAACAAAAAGTACACAATACAAAATCCGAGATTTCCGAGAATATTTAAAAGTGGAAATCACAGCCGATACAGTTGAACTTAGCGATAATTAAGTAATATCTTGAGATAATTAAGGTAAAACAATCAATAATAATCAAAATACTAATCAATACTTTGACACGAAATTCTAATTTTAGTTTTGCTCTTTCTGGTGTATCACTGTATCACGTACCACCACTTTACCTACTTTAGGTGGTAATCACACGTAAAATATGTTATCGGAATAAAATATTAATTATACAATGAATAAAATTAATAATTATTAAATAAATAATTTCTTAACATTGTTCAAAAAGTATACATTGATACAATCAAAATCAATATTGTCGAATATATTAAATACAATCAAAATCTTAATGTTTAATCTTCGTGATAAAATTGAATTCGGATGTTCCGTTCTTGATAAGAAGGATATTCTTTGTACTTTTTAATTGATAAGCGTTTGTCTATATTTATTCATATTTGACTTTATCTTTAATCTTGTCTATTTTTATTAATAATCTTCTAATTTTACATTGTCATCCGAAATTCCGAATTACAGTAAAAAGAGTCAATCAATTCAATATCAATAATAATGTTTAACTAAATTCAGGAATTCTTCCGGTTTTTTTAAAAAATTACTCGTAAAATACTAAACATGTTTCCTTTGTTAATGATTATTTATTTTTTTCTCCTGCAGAAAAATTTTCTAATTTTTTATTTTAAAATCTGATAAAATGTAGTTAAATTTTAGTTAAAATTTAGTAAAAATTTAGTTAAAATTTATATGTTTTAAAAATTTATGTTAAAATTTTATGTTAAAAATTTATGTTAAATTTATAAATAAAAATCTGGTTTTTTTTTCAACAATAAAGTTTATCTACATGACACGATATGTGCATCCGATCACGCATGCTTATTTCAATTATCGCACTTAAAAAGTTCTTAAATGTTTAAAAGTTTTTTAATCAATATAATGAATTAGGAAAGTTGATACCTTTTTTTAATTTTTGTCAATTTCTTTGGACATCTGAAATTTCCAAATTCGTTTTATTTTTCGACAAATAAAACCAAAATTGGTGATTAGGTGATCAAATAATTAAATGTTTTTTTCTTATGAAAAATATGAAAAATAATAAAATAATAAAATAATAAAAAATAATAAATATAAATATGCATGATAAAAAAAATGCATGAAAAAAAATGCATAAAAAAATGCAAAAATACAAAGATGTAAAAACAAAGATGTAAAAACAAAGATGTTTTTTTAAACATCAAATATATTACAGTATATATNACATATATATATTTATTTATATATATAATCTTTTTTTTTATAAATAAAGTTAAAAAAGAGTTCATTTTAAAAAGAAACTTTTAAGTTTTTAACGCATCATATTACATATTCTCTCATTTTTTCACCATTTTAAGAATTTCATTGTTTAAATTTTTTTTTTTTTTTCTTGGCATTATGATAAACGGTAATATTTAATATTTTATAATTAAAAAAAATAAAATAAAGTTTTTTTTTTAAACATCAAATATATTACAGTATATATGTATGTGTATGCATGTTTTTAAACCATACGGTTTTTTTAAGATATACAAATTTTTTTAAAATATACCAGTACCAGATACGTTATTCTTATAAAAATTTCGATAAAAAAATTTCGATTTTTATAAATTAAAAACATGATTAAAAATTCGTTCATAAAAAATGATAATGTTCCTTGGTATTCAAACTTTCATGATTGATAATTATATAATACATAGTAATATGAGATAACCGACCTAAATAACAATAATGTAAAATCTGCATGAACTTATGAGGATAACTGATAATTAAATTATCGCCGTTTTCAAAATGATGTACGCAGTTAAATTTGAATAAAAAAAAAAAAAAGAAACCCGAAAAACCGGACGAAAACCGGACGAAATATGGACAAAAAACGGATGAAACCTGGGCGAATATTGGGTATTCGAATATACAATCACAAATAAACTGCGTACACTATTTTGAAAACGGCGATAATTGCTTTAATATTTATAATATAGAATTATTCTTATGATGTGATATTAATGATATTAACGATAAAGATAAAGATATTGGTGAACAAATATCAATAATTCATTCTCAAATTGAGTGTAAATTATAAATTCTTCTTGTATTAGCAAATTTTAATTAAAAATTTAAAAAAAAATAAAAATAATCCTAATCTTTTTATAGTTACATTAAAAGTATTTTATTATTAAAAAGTATTATTAACATTCAATGTATTTATTATTAAAAAATATTATTATTATTTTTTTCTTGTCAAACTTGTCAAATCAATCAAAAAACCGACCCAATCGGACGATGTAAAGTGTGTAAATCCGATGTCGATCTATACTACATACATAATCTGCTTTTATAACGCTTTTTATACTTTCCCATAGATTAAACCGACAAAATCTTCGTTATCATTTTTTTATGATATTGGTGAACAAATTTCAATCGTTAAATCTCCAAATGTAGGTATAAACACATTGTTATGTTGTCATACCATGTACAACACTTTCATGTATTATCTATTAACCTAAAAATTTTATACCTTATTCACTTATCATTTTTATATATGTATATTTTTGCACTTATTCATTTTTACACCTATTCATTTTTTTACGCCTTGTTCATTTTTTTCATTTTTTACACGTTGCTTCATTTTTTTCATTTTTTTTACACGTTGCTTCATTTTTTTTTTCATTTTTTACACGTTCATTTTTTCATTTTTTTACACGTTGTTCATTTTTTTCATTTTTTTACGCGTTGTTCATTTTTTACATATTCAAAAGGTGAACCCTACAAAACTAACATTAACTCCTGTGACACTATCAAATCCGCCGAATCAATCAACTCCTGTGACTTTATCAAATCCGCCAAATCAATCAACTCCTGCAATTCTATCAACTCTACAACCCCTCCAAGCCCATTAAATCCATCAGCTCCTATTCTATCAAATCCTACAACCTCTCCAAACCCATTAAATCCATTACTCTATCAAATCCTACTACTTCTTCAAACCATTAAATCCATCCCTATAAAAAATTTTATCCGTTATTTCTGTAAAAACTCCGTAAAAGTGAGCCTTTCATGAATTCATTCATGGAAAATGTAAATAATTTGTTAAATTCCGTGATCTAAGGTTATTAATTCCGGAAATACGAGGCTTTTATGGAAAAAAGATGGAATATAAAAAACGGATCGACTTTTTTTACAGGGCATCAAGCAACTCCTACTCTATCCCTATTACTATTACTCCTTCAAATCCATTATTCCGTTAAATCCATCAGCTCCTACACTATCAAATCCAATCCTGCTACTACTACTCCTTCAATTAGTGATATTGAAATAAATTGTCAATCTGATACGTGTAGATTCTTATTCGCTTATTATCCACCAGAACAGGAAACTCAAGCAAATCAACATTTCTTAATCATTTTTACAATTACTAGCTGAAAGATTAAATAGAATTATGGTATTAACTAATTAACTAATGTTGGAGATTCTCATATATTTACTTGTAGACCTTTCCCTTTTGATTTTTATTATAACGTAAAAAACTTCAAAAAAGTTTGATAAACCCAATACTTTTCATGGTTTCATTTCCAAAATATTTGATAAAAATTGTTAAACCTTATGTCAAAAAATTAAATCAAAGAAATTGTTTAAGATTTTTTGATTAAATGATACAACTATATTTAAAGGTATTAAATTCTGGTGATGGTGATAATCTTTTAATACCGTATAGCACTGACTAAGAGACCCCCCTTCGCCCATATAAAATACCCATCTCGATATACCATATTTTATTTCCTAAAATTAGAATATTTAACCAATATTATAAATCAAATTTAAAATTTTCATATATTAAATTTGTCTCATACTGACAGGATGAACGTACACACCCGGGTATAATTTAATTTTTAAATCGCTGAAATTGAGCAGTGCTATACGGTAAAAGAATTTAATAATACAAATGCTTGGAGAATGGAACATGGAATACAAAGATTAATGCCTGCTGATAATTTAATAAATGATTTAAAAGATAAACAATTTAAAAATGATATAAAAAATTTTTATTTAGCTACTGATTATCCTTTAACAAGAGATAATATACTACTTAAATACTATTGCTATAAAAAAAATTAAATTCTACAATAAATTTAAATACTTGGGTTTTCAATGAATGCTTTTAATTATTTACCAAAAGATGATAAATTTATAAAAAAAATGAATTAATGGGTGCTGATGGTTTACAAGGAATTTTAGACAAATTAGTTTTAGTACAAGCTGATTATTTTGTTTCTTGTCCAAAATTTCGTGGTCGTTATCAACCTAAATTTACAAAAAAAGTACGTGAAGCTAGAAAGAAAGAAATAAAGAAAAAAATCAACTCATTTTGGGATGTATGGTATAGAGTTCAATAATAGAGTAATGGTATAGCGGTAGTGGTAGTAATATTGATGTAACGGTAATTGATCGGGTAACGGTAATTTAGCGGCAGTGTAGCGGTAGCGTTAGCGTTGGATAATTTTTTTGTTTAATTAATTAATTGTAGAAAAAAAAAAATTTTTTTTATTTATATTTTCCTATGATTATCCCTATTATTTGATGCATGTATCGACAAGAATAAAATTTGTTTCTACCTTTAAATTACCGCTAAAGATTGGTTACTGTTACAGCAAAATTCAAAATATACGAGACACTTGAGAAATTTGGCAGTAGGTTAGTAACCCGGCTACCCGACAACCCGACAACCCGACAACCCGACAACCAGACAATCAAATCTTTCAAGTGTCCCGTATATTTTGAATTTTGCCGTAAAACTAATGTAGGCCAACGGTGTCGTACAATCATTTCACCTACAATTATCTCACCGACAGGATCATTTTACCTACAATCATTTCAAGACAACTATTTCACTGACAATCGTTTCATCAACATTCATTTTACCGACAGGATCATTTTATCTACAATCATTTATTTCATCGACAGTTTTGAAATTCTAATCCACTTACACTAACCTTATACTAACCCTAATTCTAACCCTAATTCCTAATCCTAATTTTCTTACCTAACTCTAACTCTTTTCCTAAATTCCCTTGTCAGTGGAACATTTGTCTGCGAAATGACCCTGAGGTAATTGTCGGGGAAACGAATGCGACCCGTTAAGTAATACACAATTATACAATGTAATACAATACATTAAATTTATAAATCTTGTTATTGTCCAGTCGATTAGAATTTTGATGACCAATATTTTTATGAGACATCCAATATTGAAATCGTTATTAGTACCTATTGGTCACCGCAGTATTCTCAGTTATTTGGATGATCTTCGACCGATATTCCCATTCATTCAATAACTTATTAATGATCTACAACACTTAAATATTTCGGTAAAATAATATTTTTCTATTGTAATTCGTATTTTACTGGATTTTAGAAATCGGTCAAAAATCTAATTTCTCTCTAAATTATTTAAAATATTGACGACATTTAATTGTCACATAATTGACGCATGATTGACGCATAATCGGCACTTAAATCGAAACTTGATCGACACTTAATCAACACTTAATCGACAATGAATAGTAAAGTTTTTAATGATCTACTAAAACTGCTTTTTCATTCTATAATCAACTTATTTTTATATCATTCATTTAAAATAGGATTAATACTATCAGTTGATCGTTCTAACGAAATTTATCATTACTATCAGTTTGATAATTCTAACGGAAATTTAAAGTTATTATACATCAATTAAAAACTTAATTTGGGTCTTCCGTATCATATACTCCGTATTTTAAATTCCGGTAATACGGTCATTCGGTTAATCCAGAATAATCAATGTTTTAGTCACTCCATTTTGAAATATTTGAAATCAAAGTTGAAAGAACGGATTATTATAATTCCAGGACAATCCTAACAATAAATAAAATAACTAATAATCTATATCAATCTCCTAATAAAGTAATTTTGCAATAAGTTTTTTTTTTTTATCTTTTTTTCAAAAAGAAGGTGCTCTGTTTATAGAAATCCTTTTTGATGTGCATAATCGATTTTATCGTGTTACATATGCACTACAAAAATCCTTTTTTTTTTCACTTTTTTTCATATATGATGTATATGTAATGCATTAATTAAACGGTATAATCACATGTTAATTACTTTTAAATTACCTTCAATCATTTAAATGATAATAGGCTAAACAAAAAGGTACTCCACATTACGTTTTAATAGATCAATTATGGTATTTTGGCAGAATATTTTCTTTAAAGTTTCGAAATCAATGAAATCAAAATTGGTTATCATTAAAAATTCATTCCGGTAATTTCAAGTCGTTTTTGCGTGATACTGTACATTGCATATAATGTTTATAAAGTGATAATTATTATTTTATCACTACAAAGTTCAAAGAAACATTAGAATAATCATCAGTTTCGTTTGATATATTGATTAATGAAGATATTAATAAAGTAATATACAATAATATATGAAATGTATGAACTAAGAAAAGATTTGTTTCACAAATAATTTCAAATTTTAAAGTTTTTTTTAAAATTTTCTGTTGATCCGTTCTTTTTACACAAAACGTAACATTACAAACACAATTCGCAAAAATACGTTATCCAGATGACACTAATCCACGTTTTTTTTTTGAGATTACTTTCAAAATTCCTCCTTTTAACTTTTCTAACGCCTTATCATTTTTCTTTGTAATATATATATATATATTTGTTTACATGAGCAATATTAAGTTATTATGGTGTATATAGTACATAATAAAACATAAAGGGAATTCAAATATTTCTTTAAAAGAATTAATGTCACAAACATATTGTACATCTAGTACTATATCTAATTTTAAAATATTCATTTCTTAAAATTAATGCAAAGCAGATATCTTTGACAGCTTTACAAAATCTATAAATAGTTAAAGAGTACGTAGAACCGTAAACAAATGTACCCGAAATAAAGTACACAAAATAATGTACCCGAAATATTAAATGACATGCAGCATATTATATTGTATGCTACATTTTCTTTGCAACAGAATTTTGATTCGTTTAAATTTCTATTCTGATATCATAATATTTAATATTTTTGGATATATTTTCCCATGTTTTTGTTATTGTATCATGCGAATTTCAAATCATTATACCATTTTTTACCATATTAACATGAAACAAAAAAGATTGATAATCAATTATAAATTGCAAAAAAACATCTCTAAAATAAGAAATATGTATTAAAATTGTACCTTCTTTAATTGTGTTCGTATAATATTAGTAGTAATAATAGTAAACATAAACATAAAATTATTTTTTCTTACGGGCAAAGCTCTTACGGGCATAACCCATCAAATAATCACAAAATGTATTTATATTATATTTGTCTCAATTTTCAATTCCCCATTTCTTGTCAACCATTTTGTTCTCTTTATAAATCAAATTATTTCATAAATAAAAAAACTTTTTTTTTGTTCTCTCATATTAAATTATATAAATTATATATTTATTACATACTATTTATTATATATTATATATTATACGTAGAAAAAGAAAAGAAAATAACTCAAAATGTTCAAACAACCGATTGTAAACATAAACATTTCTTGGAATCGAGAAACATTTAAATTGCTCTTAATAATATTCATATTTTGGAGTCTTATTAGTTATTTATACTTTTATAAAAATAATAATGTTAATAATGATAATATAACTAACTCATCGACTCAACCTGATATTGGAGAAATTGGAGAACCAATTTCAATTATTCAATCGCAATCACCTTCACAATCACCTTCACAATCGCAATCGAAAGATGTAAGTATCATTTCTTTCATTAATAATTTATCGGGTACTTATTATCAACGGATAATATATTTATGGAAAGTGTGTACGGAGATGCAATACCGGTGTAACGGAGTAATGGAAATTGGTGTAATCTTGGCAAAATATAGTATAATCGCGTAATCAACAATATTATGAATATCTGTATATCCGATTAAGATACCCGACGGAATTGTTTTTTTTCGATTTATTTAACATTTTTTTTTCGATTTATTTGAAGGCTATAATGACATTATCCCCATCAACTCCAACTAATACTTCATCCCCATCAACGCCAACAACATCCCCATCAACTAATACTACATCAACTCCAACTTTTCATGTTGACATCATAATAAATCAAAAATATTGTCAATCTAATACATGTAGATTCTTATTCGCTTATTATCCACCAGAACAAGAAACTCAAGCAAATCAACATTTTTTATCATTTGTACAATTAGCCGAAAAATTAAATAGAATTATGGTATTAACTAATGTAGGAAATTCACATATATTTGCATGTCAACCATTTTCTTTCGATTTTTATTATAATGTGGACAAACTTCAAAAAAGGTTTCCAAATGTTAAATTCATTACACAAAAAGATTTTCAATTTTGGACAAAAGAAAGAAAAGAAAAACCCGATACTTTTCATGGATTTATTACAATCAACAAAAATCATTCATATACAGTAAATCATGTTCAACCTTATGTTGAAAAATTAAATTTATCAAATTGTTTAAGATTATTTAATTTAAGATTAAATGATACTACAATATTTAAAGATATTTATTTAAGTAAGGGTAAAAATCTTGAAACTTTTGAAAATTTAATATTAAAAGAATTAGATACAAATGCTGAAGTTTTATTAATTAAACATGAAATACGTTATCCTTTATTTAAACCTCTTAGTTCATTAGATTATGCTAACCATATTATAGATGCTGCAAATTCTATATCAGAAAAATTAAGACCTTATATTGCAAGTCATTGGAGGATGGAACTTGGTAAACCAAAAATGATGCCTGATTGTGCAAAAAATTTAGTTAAGTGGGTTAAAGATAAAGAAAGTAGAACTGGTATAAAAAATTTATATTTAGCTACTGATTATCCTTTATTAGGTGAGAATAAAGCTCAATCTACAACTTTCCACGTGATAACAAAATATCATATTAATGCTATTCAAATATTAAATTCTTCTGTAAGTTTAAATACTTGGGTTTCTTTACATCCATTTGATTATCTTCCAAAAGATAAATGGATAAAAAAAGAATTAATGGGAGCTGGTATACAAGGAATATTAGATAAGTTAGTATTAATACAAGCCGATTATTTTGTATCTTGTCCGAAAGTATGTGGTCGTTATATATCAAAGTATACAAAGAAAGTACGAGAAGAGAGAACAAAAAATGTAGGGAAAAAATATTATTATTTAAAGAACGTTTGGGAGATGTGGTATGAAAATTAAAGAAAATTTTATTGGTAGCCCTATGATTTAGTTAGACATTTTATGTACATAATGAATAAAATCAAATAAAATAATTACGATTTTAATCAAAGTTTAATTGAGAACTTGGGGAGCGAACCAATAAATTTGTACATACTATGTTCATCGAAAAGATTAATTTTCTTTGGAATTCGGTTGTCCTTTTGTTTATCTTTTAAGGATTTTCGGTTCGGGACTTCGGTTATCGGCGTTAAAACTAATTAATTTTGTGTCACAAAAAAAAAATATTTTTGAAAAAGTCATTGACATGCAACATAAGAACATTCCTATAATTGTTATTTAATGCATAAATGCGCTCTATGGTATTTAATCCCAACTGTTTAAACATAATTTACATCATTTTAAACCTTAAAAATCAACCAATCAAATTTTCTTTCTTTTTTAATTCATATCCTTTTTAAATCCTACCATATCATTTTATTTCCATATCATTTTTTTTACTCCCATATCATCTTTTAACTCATTAATTATTTCCATATCTTTTCAATCCATATTTCCATTCATTTTTTTTTCTTTTTTCCGATCCATATTTCGACCCATTACTTTTCATTTCATTTTTTTTTCTTTTCCGACCCATTACTTTTCATATCGAAATATCATTCCTTTCTTTTTTTCGTCGCTTCACGAAGATTTTCATGCTTCCTACAAGTAAACTGAATAATTAAAACATATTATATTTTATACCATCTCCCCTTCATACATACCACCATCATCTTTCATTATTCCTATTATCATTCCCTTTCTCAAATCATTATATTCTAAAACTTCATTCTTTGTACTGTATATCTTTTTGAAAACATCATGTTAAGGAAAGTAGTATTGATTGTTACAATCGCATATATTATATGGATTACATCATTTTTAGTATTTGGTACGGATGATACAGATACCAAACAAGTAAGTATTTTTACATTACAGTCAGGACTCGATATAACAAACTCGATATAACGAACTTGGTATAACGAACTCGATATAAACGAGCTCAATATGATATATGATGTAACGAACAGTAATATGGCGAACTCGATATAACGTACTCTTAGGTTCACCGAAAATAATCGTTATACCGTTTATATGTTCATATTTAAAGTGAAATTCTTCATGTCGTATTAGTCGTTATATCGAGTTCTAAGTTTTAATCGAGTAACTGTACTTTTTTATTAATATAAATCAATTATTAATTTTTTATTTATTTATTTATTTATTTATTTTTAAAAAAAAGTCATTATCATTAGAAGAGATTGCTATAACCAAAGAATTTGATAATGAATTTGATAATGACAGATCAAAATTAATCGAACATGATGAAAAAGTTAATTTAAAATATTGTGGTGAAAAGACTTGTAATTTCATGTTTCCATATTTTATTCCTGAACAAGAAACAAGAGCAAACCTTCATCTTAGATCTTTAACTTTTCTCGCAGAATCACTTAATCGTATAATGGTATTACCTAATGTTGGAAATTCAAGAATAGATTGTTGTACGAAATTTCCTTTTGAATTTTATTATGATTTAGAAAAAATGAAAGAAATGTTTCCAAGAGTAAAATTTATGACACAACAAACTTTTAAAGAATGGACAGAAGAACTTTTAATTAAACCTGATACTTTACATACTTGGTTAATAGAAGATGGTAGAAATGATTCTTATTCTATAAGAGATCATGATTATATTTCTATTGAACAAGGTGTACAATATGGAAAAAAACTTATTAATAATTTATGTTTGGATCAATTCAATTTAAATATATCTGATTATATTGAATTTCATTCTGGAAAAATTATGATAAAAGATTTTGAATTTAAAATGTTTAATTTTTTAACGGAAAATCTTAAAAATAGAAAATCTCCTGTATTATTAATTCGAAATCGTTGTAGAAAACAAATGTTTCCATTAATTGAAGAACAAATACCATTTGCTCCTCATATTTTAAATCAAGCAAATGAAATTAGAAATAAATTACAACCATATTATTGTATTCATTGGAGAATGGAACAAGGTATACCTCAGAAAATGCCAAATTGTGCTAGTGAATTAATTAAGATGATTAATAATCTTAAAACAAAAGTAGGAATAAATAATATATATCTTGCAACAGATTATCCTATTTCAGGAGGTAAATCAGCTTCAAGTACATTTTATAGAGTAGAAAAATATCATAAATTAGCAATTCAAATGCTTAATTCAACATTTGATATTAATACTTGGATTTCTTTAAATGCTCTCAAAGAATTTAGAAATAATGAATATTATGATTCAGAATTTAATAATTCAGGTATACATGGAATTTTGGATAAATTAATATGCATACAATCTGATTATTTTATAAGTGGTCCTAGAGATTGTTGTAGAATATTATCAACTTATACTAAACTTATTGGTGAAGCAAGAAAAAATTTAATAGACAGTGGTGATACGAGAATTCGGAATACTATCACAAGATGGAAAAGGCCCAGTAAATAATTATTGATCAATTATAAATTAACATGTTATCTTAGAAATTTACTTATATATTTGAATAAGATAATTTTTTGTATAGATAAATTTATGTATTATTAGAATTAGAATTAAATAAAATAACAGTATGTATAATTAATTAAATTATATATACTTATTTAAAGTCATTACAACTATAATTAAACGTAAACATGGTCGAAAACCGATATCACTATTCTAACTAATAGGAATTGATGCTACTAATACTGATTTCAGTATAAAAATATCGGTCAATTAATCACTAAAAGGCGTTACGGAATTAAAGTCACATGCCTTAAAGTCGCGTGGGCGAACCTTTAAATTAGTGAACTATCCAAATTATCTCTCATATCTTTTCGTTTCTAGAATTTACTATCAAATTTATTGTTGAAGGGATACACACACTTCGTTATAACATCGCTATACAATATGCGCGAAAATTAAATAAACGACTCGATCAACGATTCGAAAAACTTAAATTTTTAATAAATTATTAAATTAATTACTTTTATACAATTTTTAGAAATAAAAATTACAATACATTACAAAGAATATCCCTTATCCCGTACTATAAAATTTATAATAAATCGTATACTACATAATCAGTTTCTAAATTTTCATGCGTCGAAAATTCAGGCATGCCTATATCGACATACTCAGGAGGTGGAGAAACCATTGAAGCAATCGCATAGGATGGGGGTCGATCAATTAAAGTATCAGAAAGAGATTCTTGACTCGGTTTGATAGATTTTGTCGTTACTATGATCGGAATTTCAAAATGTAATCGTTTCCTTTCAACCTTAGATACAAGTGTATTTCTTTGAGAATTTATGATATTTGATAGATTTGATAGAGACATAGTTCTTGAACTATGTCTTCTATTTGGATTTCTTCCAAAAGATATTCTACGACTACTCCTTCGATTTGTCGCTTCAGATAAAACACTTTCATTATCGCTGCAAAGGTTAACTGCCTCCGTAACGCAAATGGTAAACGATAACTTATGAATAACATCAATTAATTCAGAATTTACATCACAATTAACCCATGGACATAAACGAAAATTAATCATAATTGGGTCTCCATCATTACTATCTGGATCGATTTTAATTCGTCTCTTACCGAGAGGATAACGTTCTTCATTAACATTCGCTATAACAGCCGTAGCCTCTTCACCAGTTGTGTGATAATGAATATGTTCTTTTAATCCATATTCGATAGCTTCAATAGCAGTACCAATATTGTCAGATTTTAATATTAATTCATTTTGAACTAAACCACCTTCACGAAATGTCATAATAGGAGTACTAATTTGATAATGAATCTTTTCATCCAAAATTCCTTCGGTAAATGTGGTATGATGTGTTTGTGCTGCTCGCGTTTCGTCCATTAAACAACGTTTAATGTTTACAATTTTCTTTACTATTAAATCGTTACGGAATATTGGTCTTGAGAGAACTGCTGTACAATAATATTCAATTTTTCCACGTGATCCTTTGAATGATGATGGTAAATTTCCTGGAAGTTCAAATTCAAAATAATATTCATGTGTTCCGGCAGGAATTTTCTTATTGGATGTTGCTGAATCATGAAATAAACATTCTTTTCGAAATATGGTTTTAATTTCGCTGTCTGTTATTTTTTTGTAAACGAAAAAAATTTTATTAATTAAAAAAAAAAAGGTGGATAAGAATTAAGAATTAATATATATTATGTCAAAAAATTATTTATTTACATTCTGGCCTTGAAGATGACATAGGAGGTCCACATGCAACAATTATTTTCCCAGCAAAGACAAATAATAAATATTTTGCTTGAATTGCCTTTGTATTATTAAGAACGACCTTTCCTCCTAGTTTACATCCTAATGATTCTTCAGGAAGACCATACATTGTACCTTCAAAATCTTCATCCAGGAATATTTCCAACGAAGCACTTTTTTCATTTTTATCAAACATTCTTTTTTATTTTTTCTAAAAATGAGTAAAGAATGTAATAAAATCAAACTTTAATAATAATTGTAGTAGATTATTATAATAATAATAATAAATAATATAATAATAAGGAATGTTATTTAATAAAGGAATGTAGCTCCTTAAGATTATAAATTTTTAATTTTTTTTTTTCGTCGAGAATTTTAAAGGAAAGAAAAAGAAATGCGCAATTAAAAGCCATAAAGGTCAATATTTAATAGTACGGATGATCAAAAAATAATTCAATCCCCATTCATGATTTAACGATTCATCCCATTTTCGATCGCGATTATGATATTCACACTTAGGAGTTTATTCGTGTAAATTATGTAAATTATGTATAAATATGTTCCATTTTGTTTAATTCAAAAATAATTCACGAGATGATTCTCATTTTTTATACTATATTTATATAGAAACATTACAACATTTTCGGAGAAATTGGTCAAATATATATAACCGATCCATAAGTACTTTTTTTCCATGACAATCAGACAATAAGTATCCTTATCTGGACACAATCACATGATATGCCGTTGTACAATTATGATTTATGAAAATGAACTACCCACCTTTTAAAAAATCTTTTCAACGAATCTCACAAACTTTATTTTCTCTTTTTAGAATTACAAAAAAAAAGAGAGGGGGTTGATTATTATTTTATTAAAGATAGAAATTAAAATCTAGATCAAAAATAAACTCAATATACAGAATTATGGTATCAACAGAAATTTTCTTATTTATTCCATTGTTACTCATAGGTCTTGTGATAATATTTTATAGAAGACCAGACCTTATCTATAATTTATTATTAGTAATCTTACATTTTATGTATTCGCTTTATAAATTATATTTGTCAATACCATTACTTTTTTTAAGAAACCGTACGCCAACATGTGCATCACAATTATCTGGTGATATTAAATATTTAGATAAGATACCAAAACATCTTGCGGTAATGTTTTGGAGTGATGATATCCAAGAAGAAAGATTGATTGAGGCGGCGCAGTTGTGTTGTTGGGCTTGGTGTTTTGGGGTGAAAACAGTGAGCATTTATGAACCTGAAGGTATCTTTATAATTATTTTATATATGTTAATGATTTGATTTATTACTTACCTTACCTTTTTTTCCCTTTTTTTTAAAGGTCATCTGAAAGAATATATTCAATTACTTCAATATCACATCAATTCCGTTTCACGAGAATTCATTTCTCTAGAAAAGATTTTACCGACTATTCAGGTAACGTCACCTAGTTCTATATCATCACCTATAGAAAATGAAACAAATCAATCAGGTATTAATTTAATTTATTTTTATTTTTTAATCATTTCTAAAAGTTATTAAATCGATAAATTGAAAACATATTTTTTTTTTAGATTTACTTGTTAATCTGATCTCACGTTCTGATGGTCGTGCACGAATAGTGGAAACGACAAAATCTTTAACTAAAGATGTTATACAAGAAAAGATAAAATATGATGATGTGAATATTCAAGAATTAGACAGGAGGTTAAAGAGTATGTGTGAGAAGGGGTATTTTTTTTTTATATAAATTATTTTGCCTTACCATATTTAACTTCTTTTTTTTTATCATTCTAAAAGTATTCCAAATCCCTGAACCACAACTTCTCATTTCATTTTCTTCAAGAATTGATCTTGATGGATTCCCACCATGGCAAATTCATCTAACTGAAATATTGTAAGTTTTGATTTTTTTTTCGAGATTTTTAATTTTTAATGAATATTTTTTAAAATTTTTTTCTTTTAATTTTATTCTATATAAAAAGTCATGTACCTGATAATCCAAACTTTAGTTATTCCATCTTTCTACAAGGACTCCGTAAATATTCAAAATGTAATCAACGATTTGGTAAATAAGGAGTGGGAACTTATTAACTAGTTAATAATAATTTATTAATAAATAATTTCCTTTGAGGAATTTTTTTTTTTAAAAAAAAAAAAAAATTTATGAAATTTGACTTTTATTTTGGTAATTATCAGTAAAGGTAATTACATAAGTTTACATAAGTTACTTATTACGTAATTCGTAATTATATTAATTCGATTAAATTAAATCTGATAAATAGTTCTTTGTAAATATAATATAGAAAATTACTTAATAAAATTATTTAGGGTTTAATTTGAAAATAAATAAAATAAGTTATTTTTTGAGAGAATTATTATAAATATCATTTTAAATTACTTTATATAATTAGCCAATAGACGGAAATATAGAATAATAGACTTAGAATTTTATATTATATACACCGTATTAATTATTATGATTTTAATAAATCTTTTTATTATTTAATATCCACCTTGTATTTCAGTAATTACAGACTTTGCTCTATCTTCACTCATAATACCAAATGAATGTATTCTCATATTAAAAGATCCGGTTCCACCAGTTAAAGATCTTAAAGATGATGAATATCCCAATAAAGTAGATAAAGGTACATGAGCTTTTATAATTCTTTTCGGTTCAATTACCTTTTGTTTCTCATTTGATGAAATATATGTTGAATCCGGTGGAGCATAAATTTCTATTGAATGATCATAATCTATTAATTGACCTGAAGTTTCTAATCCCAAAATATTTCCTCTTCTTGTTCCAGTTAAATCAGCAAGTACATCACCTAAATGTTCTTCAGGTACTTCAACTTCTACGTCCATTAAAGGTTCTAATAAAGCTGGAGCTCCATTTTTCATAGCTTCACCAAGTGCTTGCGAAGCACATGCACTAATGGCCGTCTTGGTCGATTCTAATCCAAATAATTTTGGAGAATGAACCTTAATATAAAGACCTGTAATTGGAAAACCTAATATTGGTCCTCTATAAAGGGCTGATAAAATTCCGGAATGTAATGCATCTCTTATTTCTATTTTATCTAACTTTGTCAAAGAATTCTGATTATTCGTTTCATTTTGTTGTTCTGAATTTAAATCATCAATTATTATTTCTATTCTATTACCACCTTCCTCTGAAATCCCTTTATCATTCTCAGGAAGTGGAGTAATCATTAAACTAATTTGAGCTTTTTGTTTTTTTCCCATTAGTTCACGATCATATAAACAAGTATGTTCTAATTGTTCTACTGTAATAGTTTCTCTATATGAAATTCGCATTTTTCCCATTTCCGCATTAACTTTAAATTCCGTTAATAATCTATCTTTAATAATTTCTAAATGTAATTCTCCCATACCACTAATTAATGTTTGTCCAGAATCGGAATCTACATGAACATGAAGAGAAGGATCTTCTCTTAACATGTTCTTAAGAGCATCTTCTAATGGTTTTTCATCTGAAATCGAAGTTGGCTCAACAGAGTAAAAAAATACTGGAGATGGAATATCAATACTTTGTAATTTAAGATCCTGACGTGAATCATTAATTTGTATGAGCGTATCACCTGTTCTTGTTTCTTTAAGTCCTACAATTACTCCAATATTACCAGCTGAAATTGATGGTATTTCTTCCACATCATTAGCATACATTTGTAATAACTTATTTACTCTTTCTCTTTTACGTGAGCTCGTATTAAATAATGTCATTCGATTATCAATTTTACCTATAATAAAAGAGAAAAAAAATATTTTATGAGTGCTATTAATTTTTCATCAATTTTCCGTTCATCATGAACCACCATAGTACCCAATCGAAAAAAAAATTTTGTAAAAACATTCGCGTTATGACTATGCGCTATCACTCTTTGATACTCTCACGTAATATATCATAAAAAATCTTTATATATGTTACCCGAATATACTCGAACAAAAATCATCGGACCCCTTTTATGATCATGAATGACTTTAAAAGCGAACGCGCAAAGTTTTTCCTTTTCTTTTAATGGAATCTCAACTATCTTATCTGATAAAGTGGCTAGTGGAGGTAAACGATCCAATGGAGAAGGTAAAAAATCAACCACAGCATCCATTAAAGGTTGTACACCAATATTTTTATAAGATGCACCACAAAAAACTGGTACAGCTTTTCCACTCAAAGTAACCCTACGTAATGCTTCTCTTATATCATCAACGGGAACTTTCATGGGATCCTCGTTTGCTAAAAATATTTCTAATAATTGATCATCAATTTCAGATAAAGTTTCGACTAGATGAGATCTTCCTTTAACTGCTTCCTCAAATAATCCAGAAATTGGATATTGTTCAGTTAAAATAGTTTTATTTATAATAGAACCATTAGGATTATTATTCCAATCCAATACTTGCATATCAAGAAGATCTACAATTCCAAAAAATAAATTATTTCCTATAGAATCTTTTTTCATTATAGGTAATTGACAAACAAGAGGTCTTGTTCCTAATTTATAACGCATCTCTTTAACAGTTCTTCCAAATCCAGCACCAATTCGATCCATTTTATTAACATAAGCTATTCTTGGGATACCATATTTATCAGCTTGATCCCAAACAGTTTGAGTTTGTGCTTCTACACCGGAAACTCCATCTAAAATTGTAATAGCACCATCAAGAACTCTAATACTACGTTCAACTTCAATAGTGAAATCAACATGACCTGGAGTATCTATTAAATTTATTCTATGATTCTTCCAACCAAATGTAATTGCTGCTGAAGTAATTGAGATTCCACGTTCACGTTCTTGTTTCATATAATCCGTGATTGTATCTCCATGATCCACATCTTAATAAAAAAAAATATATATATATGTAACGTTTATATATATATATATACATATGTAATATTTTTTGTTATATAAACGTGAAATACCTCCTATACGTCTTGTGAAGCCTGCATAATGTAACATTCGTTCTGTTGTAGTCGTCTTGCCTAAAAAAAAATTCTCGCGTAAAATTGATGATTATAACAATATCGGAATTATAATTAATAATTTATTACCTCCATCGATATGAGCTATAATTCCAATATTCCTCGTTTTAGATATAGAATATTCTTGAAAAAAATGAATTTTTTTTTGATTTAACATACATACTTTTTTTTTTTTTTTTTTTNATTTTTTGTATTATATATATATATATTTTACCTTTAATAGTTGTAGTATAAAACCTTTGATTTATAATAGTTTGACTTTTAAATTTTAATAAAGTATGATTTATGTAAACCGACCTCACATTCTGAAAGACCCTCTTCATTTTTTCTTCATCACATTATGTTATTGCTAATAAAAAAAAAAAGGTACTATATTTTTATACTGGTTTTTTTTTTTATTTTTTCCATCTTTTTTTATAATCTCGCAGATCACTACCTTAGATCAACAAATTTATCAAAATTACAATTTACAAATATTACAAGAAATATATATATATATATATATATAATAATAATATACATAAAATCAAAAAAACAAAAAAGAAAACAAAAGATTTTTAATTTAACATTATTTCTTTCTTTAAACCATTCCATTCAAAAAGAAAAAAGAAAAAAAAGAAAAAGTAATTATAATTATAATATTTAATATATTGTATATTATTAATCCCAAATCTACATAAGTTTAACATTATTCTCGGGAAATTTTTTAATAATTTCCAAATGTTCATCGGATAAACCTTGACTAAAACGAAATTCCAAAATTCCATTATTTTTCCCAATCATTAACCCATCAAGAAATTTTTCTAATACATCAGGACTAAAAACCCAATTTAAATAAACTTTAAAAGTTTTCAAACCTTCAGGAAAAGTATTTTTCAATTTTAATAAATAATCATCAACATCCATCGCAACACAAACATTATATTGAGAACGATTCATTAAATGAATTTTTTTTAAATCAAAATTTGGATGATAAATATGAAAATATTCTAATTGTTGACAACCTTTAAATAATTTTTCAATTTTAATACTTTGATGTATTGTCATTGGAGCTATAAATTTTTTAAGATTATGACAATAATCTGATAATAAATCTATTAATGTTTCAATATTATAATTTTGTAAATGTATAAATTGTAAAGTATGAAGAGCAGAACTTGAATATTGAAAAATTGGTTCAAGAATTTTTAAAGGTAAATCATATTGTTTAACTATTATAGTATTTAATTTTTTAAATTCTCTAAAAGATGATTGAATCTCTTGATGATTTAATTTTTCAATAAACCATTTTTTAATGGTAATCTTTTCTAAATTTTCAAATGTAGTTAATTGTTGAAGAAATTTTGAAAAAAAGATTGAATCAAAATAAATATGTTTGATAATTAAATTTGTTAAAGAATTTTTTGCATATTCTGAATTAACAAGTCCATTCCAAACCACTTTAAATCCTTCAAAATTATGAGAATCTATTGAAAGATCTTGTAATTTTGGTTGAACTTGAATAATTTTCACCAAATCTCCATAATTTGTAGGTTTCACATATTCCATTTGACTTATAATTAATGATTGAATATTTTGACAAAGTTTTGAGATCGTCTTAAATTGATCTGAATAATATTCATTATTAACTTTTAAAGTATGAATTTGTGGTAATTTATTAGATGCTCCATAAAGTCGAAAGATATTAAAATCATTCGCTATGGTAATATCTAAACAATCAATATATGCTGCTTGACCCAAAAAATTCCTACATAATGCTTTACTTAACTCTTTTTTCATTCTTTCCCGTGGTGTTTCCGCTTCAATTTTAGAATTACACCATTCAGCAGCTGATAAGAATATTCGATTAACTGGAATATTTCTTATATATGCAGGATAATTAAAAGTGACAGATTGTGTTAAAGTTGAAGAAATCCGTAATCTTTTTTGAATCGCTTGTGGAAGACATGCGATATATGTATTTATTAAAGCTATTTGTCTTTTTGATTCTTGATGATTCTCAAAAGGACTTCTCCATAATTCTGGTATAGCTGACACACACCAATGTTTATTAACAAATGCACAAGAATATAATGATTTTTGATCTTTATCTATATGTTGAAAAATATTTGATAAACAAACGTAAGGTAAAGCGGAAGGCATGATTTCTTGAGAAAAAAATTGAAAAAAATTAGGTTATGAGACTAAAAAAAGTTAAAATTTTTTTTTTTTTTTAAAAAAAAAAAAGCGATTCGACCCTATTTATACTTAAATTTTTATATGGTTACGCACTATCACATGATAATTACCGATATAGTAAGACAGAAAGATATAAAACCGGTTTATGTTGATCAAATACTTATTTGACGCAGACGACTTTTTTGAACCATTAATTACTGTGTAAAAAAAACCTTATTAAAGAATGATTTTGTATTTCTAAAGTATTATATTTTTTTCAATAAGTAAATATAAATTTCTATTAATTAGTTTTTTTTTAAAAATGTATTTATAATCTTATCAAGGTAAAGATGTTCATCGGTTCTAGCCGTTCTGAGCTGTAATCATTATCGGTATAAATACACAAAATATCCTCCATCGGTCTTACTATTATTGAAATAAAGAATGTTGCGCCATCGAGTACATGTACTGATTGTACTGTGTGTACTGTGGTATTACCTATAATCTTTTGTAAAAAATTTTTGTGGATAATAACAATATTTTTATTATCATCCAATGAAATAATTTATATAATTTATTAAATACTGATGATGTCTTAAATAAACGAAATAATTGAGTTCTTGTTTTAAATAAAAAGCGGTTCTTTTTTGGAAATGGATTTACACGCGTCTATGATGAGTGTACAAAATAAATTTTACGTTATGAACTATAAATGTAAGCAGCTACTGTAGATTCGTTACACAACTTTGATTATATCAGTGCTCGAAATTTTATTCAGTGAAACATTTGTTATGAATTAATTTACGAGTTACGACATAAGTGTTTGATTAATTCGAATGCTGTGTGATACCCAAAAATATCTGTATCTGTATACCCATCAGATTTTTTATCCAGAAAGGAACGCATATTAAGCAAATCGTATGGATAATGAATCGAATTTGACAAAACTTGACATTAATATAAAAAATTATAAGAAATTATAAAAAAATGCTATAATACTGATGTTTTTTCTACGCCGTTAATGATTTTAAATGAAAAAACGGATCTTAATAAATGACATTCTTGCTTTTTGAAATATGGTCCCTTTTTTGTTGCTATTTTTGCATATTGAACTGATAAAAAACCATGCAAATTTAATATTTTATTTTAAGCCAGCAGGGATGATAATATAGCTGCAATATTTCAAGAAAAATTAGAAAATTGAAAAGTCACAAATTCGGAGCAAATAGTTGAGAATTCGGTGTAATATTTCTTTTTAATATCATGGATGAATTCATGATTCAACAATATCCGCAAAGTATATTATATAATCCATAAATAAATCGAAATCTGCATGGAAAAATTAAAGGTAAAATATATTCAGTTCGCATTAGCTCAAAAACGTACTGTATGTGTACAGTTCGAAAAACATACTATATGTGTAGTAAAATATTACACCACTTATAACCAATGAATTTGCAAGGAAAGGAAAGTTATTTATAAATGGTTTATTACAATTTTTAGCAGAAGTTAGGGTTATGTTCATGACTATTACTTAATTTTCCCATATTCATTGATTTTATCGGATCAAAATATCTCTGCGGGGAAACTATCAATAGGAGTGTTAAGGTTCATCTACAATAATCGTTTCACGTTTTTGTATCTTTGTCAAAGAAGCTCTGGAAAACTTGGCCGTATCTCGAGATGATACAAATGTTTTTTCTACATAACTTATTTAGATTTATTTTGTTATATAATTTATCCTATTCGTTCGGCTTCTTCGGAATTTATTCAAACGATTATCCGGATATAATATCCGATTTATTAAATTCGGTTATTTAAATCCGAATCGGATAGAATCAGATTTAAAATCCGAAAGACGACCTTTAAACCCAATTGACATTTTTTAAGTCCTACTTATATATAAAATAAAATAAAAAAAATATTGATACAATCGTACGGAACTACGGATCCTTTAATTAATGTGTGATTTATCCAGTAATGTTTTGTTAAATTTAGTCTGTACCTGAATTACACACATAATATCCAACTATAAGGTATTGCCATAGCTATACTATCTTGGGAATAAAATAATCACTCGTTTTATCGAGCTTATTGGTTTGTTATAGAATGAAAAGCACGTAATTATAATTGACAATAACAAATAAAATTACGAATTTCATTGATATGCTACCATATATCATATATGTCATATATGCAAGGAACATGAATAAGCAAAAAAAGTATACGTTTTTTTGTTATTGTAAAAAGTATCAGCAATTCATATTTGTGTCAGATGGTTAGGATATATATATATATGTGTCAATATATTACTATATATAATACAGTATTGTCTTTGTAAAAAAGTCCATCCTGTTATGAGCTACCGCAATATTACAGTTTCCGTTTGTTATATCCCTGTCAACATTTAGAATAAGCAACCATGCAAAAAAGCTAGTTACAAAACTAACTTTTGTCACTGCGCCACATGTTCAAAAAAAAATCCTACAACGGTTATAAAATATTAATATAAAGATTTCTGCGCTTCTTTTATATAGCCATTTTTGATACATAATAACGTGTATTTATAAGTATTTATTTAAAAAGTGTGATATAAAGAAGAAGTACGATATTTTTACGCGATCATATGCGGAAATGTGATGCATAAAAAAATCAAAAGATGTTTTTCTTTACCTACAAGAAAAAAAAAAAAAATTCATAAAAAATTTGAAAATAATTCTTTATAAATAAAATTTTAGATGATTTTTTGTCACCATTTTCAAAATGATATATCTGATGTATCCTATCAAATATCCGTTTGACTGATTGACTTCCGGTTGTTGTCTTGTAATCGTCCTGTATTCATTCGTTCGGTAAAAATACATCATTTTGAAAATGGCGATAAGATAAAATAATTTTCTAGAATTATGATGATCTAAACACTTATAAACAACCTAAAAAAAATTATCATTATTAAAATAAATTTTCATATGGAACTTACAGATTCGATTGTATTACAAAAGTTTTCTGATTTATTAGAATAATCATATCTCGAAAGATGTTTCTAGCTAAAATTGTAGATATTATAAATAACAAAACGTAGATTTTCTTTATTGAATAATGAAAAAAAAAAAAAGATTTGGGCGCGTTACAGTCGTTACACCCTAAAATATCTTAACCTTAAATTAATAATTATCCTATTCCCTAATAATTATACAAATATATATTACTTTACGAACTTTGCATGAATAAAAAGGGGTAATACTGTATAGGTATATAAAAAATAATGATCACTATGATCGACACTAATTGTTTACATTTTGGCGCAGTAAATTACCCAAATATACGCTTTTATTATTATTCCCCCCCCCCTATTTTTTTTTTTTTACATATATATATATATATATAAGCCTACCATTTTGATATTATATTTTGTATTTTTTGATTATCATAATCATAATATAATTTTTCTCTTACATTAATAATATCTTTTATAAAATTATTTGAAGATTTTAAAGTACATTCTGAAGGAGCAGTAATAAAATAATCAGAACTTGTACATACTAATTTATCCAATATATTAGTAATTCCTTTCCCCTTAAATTCTTCAAGATTCTCCTTCCTTCGAATAATTTTATCAAAAGCATTTAAAGAATACCAAGTATTAATTGTCATTGTTGTATTTAATAAATGAATTGCTCGACGATAATGTCTTGTTTGACGATAAGAAAAAGAATATGATGAAGAAGAAGATTGAATAAAATCCAAAGAAACAGGATAATCTGTTGCTAAATATATATTATTATAATGAATATTTTCTTTTAAAATTTTTAAGGTATTAATAAGTTTTTTAGCACAATCTGATAAAATTTTTGAATCATTTATATCAATCATTTTCCAATAAATTGCGACAAAAGGTTCTAAAGCCACATTAATTTTCCAAGTTTCATGATTAATACTATCTGAATATGGATTTGATAAAGTAGTAGTAGTAGTAGTAGTATTATTATTATTATTATTATTATTATTATGAGAAGGAAAGATTTCTTTGTTTATCTCATTTTTAATTAATAATATTTCTGAATTAGAATTTTTTAAATTTGAAATTAAAAATTTGGAAATATTTTTACGATAAGAAGATTTTAAAAGTAAATCTGATCTAAAAAGAATTTTTTGATAAGGATTGAAATTATTATAATTCATTTCAAAATTTTTAAGACAATTAATATCTCCTCCATCATTATCTAATTGTATATCTTCTACAATAGGAACGTCATTTGATGAATTGGATGATGATGATGTTGATGATGATGATGATGATAAGTGTAAATAATGAAAATTTGGTTTTTCAATCCTTTCATTGGTCCAAAATTGAAAATTATCTTGTGATATTAAAGATAAATTTGGAAATTTCTCCTTTAAATAATCAATATTATAATAAAACTCGAAAGGGAATTTATTACAAGAATCAATTCTTGATGTTCCAACATTAGTTAAAACAAGTGTACGATTTAATTTATTCGCTAAATGAGCGAACGTATTTATAAATTGTACATTTGTTTTAGTTTCTGGTTCGGAATTTGAGTAAACGAATAAGAATTTGCATTGAGAATTTTGACAATATTTTTGATTAATTTCATTATCTGGATTGATATATGTGTTTTTGTTTATTATTATTTCTAAATTTTCTAAATTTTGTTGAATATTTGGAATATAATCATTTCTTTCTCCGAAATCGTCAATTGATTTCTTCTCCTAAAAAAGAAAAAAAAATAAAAAAAAAATAAAATATTAATAATAATATTTTAATNCCATCTAAAATTATCTTCACTTGTTCCTTTTTCATCCCAGTCTGAAGAGCCAACGCTGTTGCCATCAAATGGAGGAGGGTCATGGTCGTAGAGCTTATCAATACTAAAATCATCTCTTATTTTAAAATAAGCGATTGTTTTATCAATTTCGACGGATTCTTCAAATTCATTTTCATTTCTGAAATTCTTTTTCTTGTTGAATATAAATGGACGATAATCAGTATTCTGCAATATTTTGATCAAAAGGTTTGCTATTTAATTTTTTTTAAAAAAACTTATCAATATATATTTAAGTCGCATAATTATTTACTACTAATAAAACTCATGTGTTTTTTTTTACCTGTATCGAATGTAGCAGCAAATCTTCCATCTTGACAAAGTTCAATTTGATAATCTTCCTTATTCATAGTGATATCATCTTTTTCATAATTTATGTTTATTTCGTTGGCTTCCATGTTTTTTGTTAAAAAAGTTTTTTAGCTAATAAAAATATAACCTCATTTTTAATTTAAGAAGAGATGAAGAAAGTAAAATCCGTGAAAGTACTCAATTTATTTTAAAAAAAATCTAATCTTTAATCTGCAGTAACACGGAAGGCTCTGAGTAATATAATAAATAGTTAACAAGAGAATCGGTACTCATTATTAGCACTACGCATCTCTTCAGGGCCAGAATTATGTAATTCCACCTGGCATTATCCAAAAAAGAAGGATTTACGCGTTTAATTTTTTTATTTAAAAATCTAAATTAGTAAAACAGCGAAAGTAGGATTTAACCATAACTGAAAATTTTGCACGTCGGTGATCATAATGCAGACTACATGCATGCATACACGACAAAAATGTTCATCAGAATGAAATTATATTTTTTTTTTCTTTGAAAAAAAATTGATTGATAACACGAAACTTGTTCTAAAAACTAATCTTCTTTAGGTGCGACTAAAAAAAGTTTATTATTTTTATTATGTAAATATCAGTTGATCACCTGCTATTTCACATCATTTAAAAAAGAGTTTCAAATGGTAAAAATTTATGTTTCATAAATCACATTCATTTGCGTCATTTTTTTAATATTGTAAATTTATTTTTTGATTTTATTGCTTAAAATGTTAAAATATTTATAGACTATGTGACGCAGTTTACGCCAATAAAATGTTAAAAATAGTTTATAAATTTAAAAAATTTAAAAAAAGTTTCACAAAAAAAAAATATTTGGCAGATTAAAGGTTATCAATGCAAGTGCGCCTTAATATTACCAAAGTCAGTGTATCATCAAGTATCTAATAAATGTAAATCAATACACGTGCTGCGTGTAAGATTTATTAGAACATAAATACGGTAATGATTAAATCGTGTTATGCATGTTGGTTACTAATTTTTTATTATTGTGTCAAATAGCGCGCGCAGTTTAATTGTTTCGGTTATTTATTCAAAATCTGTCTCATCTGTTTATAGACAATGATATCTATTGTCCGTGAGACCGTACCATCACTACCGTGTTAGGTCCGTCAGGTACCCGTAACCTATGTTACCTGCCTGTGATTCCTATTCAGGTATGTTATTATTGTACTTTGTGATGATATTCCTGTTATTTCTTGATATTCCTGATATTCCTTGATATTCCTTGATATTCCTTGATATTTCCTTTAAGCGATTTATTTCGCGTTTATACCGTTTATATTTATATATAGTAATAATATTATAAAAAATGATAAAGTCCCCGTAAAAGGATGTGTAAAAGGATGTAAAGGAGTAAAATATAGTAAGTCTTCTTATATACTGTCGCGTAAAAATTCTAAGCTTAAGTCTATAACGTAATAAAAAGTTTAGTAAATATTAGTTATTTGATAGGGGGGTTAGAATATCACCGAACTGCGAAGCAGTTCGGATGATATAAACTATTGATTAAAATAATTATGCAATGGTAGTTTATTTATAGCTTAATAAAAAAATATCAGCATGATGAAAAAAGCATGATCCTATTTGGCTGTAGAATAAAATTAATTATTGATTTCTTTGTTAACTTACTAAAGTTTGATAATATTACATTAGACGGCATTGAGTGTTGAGATAAGATTGTAATGAACTAATGATACCCCGGTAAAAAGATTTCGATCTTCGCTTTTTTCGTCAGTAAGTACTTCTATTATTACTTCGTTATTACTCCTATTACAGTAGTAAAGGTACCACCTTATAAATAGCCCTACTTTGCAAGATTTGACCAAATCAATTATCGATTTGGTACTTTTCTCTGTCGTGTTGAAAACAAATTAACTGATTACGGTTTAGTCAGTTTTATCTCTTAAATAGGGCAAAATAGCATATAAATGGCCCTACTTTTCGAGATTTGACTAAATCAGAGAAATCAATCTTTTTGATTATCGATTTGGTCCTTATTCTCTATCGTGTTGAAAACAAATTAACTGACTAAGGTTTGGTCAGTTTTATCTCTTAAATGGGCCAAAATAATTAAATTCCATAGAGTCTTTATGAAAGAAGAAAGTGTCCTAACCATTCCAGAGGGATGGGCTACCAGCAACGGACACGCAGACTTCGCGTCATATTGATACTCTGTTTTCTTAAAATTTTGGTTTCTTTTTTGTAGTTTACTTCGTTATTATTTCGTTGTTTTTTTTTATTACACCCTCATATTAGCTTATTAGGTATATATTTGATAAAGAAATTTAATATCAACACCATATAAATAGCCTAATTTTCGAGATTTGATCAAATTAGAGAATCTTAATCTTTTTTGATTATCGATTTATTCCTTTTTCTCTGTCGACTTCTATTATTACTTCTATTATTAGTAAAAAATTTCCATAAAAATGATCCCACTTTTCGAGATTTGGCCAAATCAAGAATCTTAATCTTTTTGATTGTTGATTTGGTCTTTTTTCTCTATCGTCTACTTCGTTATTACTTCTATTATTACTTTATTATTAGTAAAGAAATTCCCGTAAAAATAGTCCCACATTTCGAGATTTGACCAAATCAAGAATCTTAATTTTTTTGATTATCGATTTGGTCCTTATTCTCTGTCGTGTTGAAAACAAATTAACTGACTAAGGTTTAGTAAGTTTTATCTCTTAAATAGGACAAAATAATTAAATTCCATAGGAATCTGGAGAAAGTGTCCTAATCATCCCAAAGGATGGATTATTACTTCATTGTAATCATTTAAGGTCTTTAAGCAGCGAGGTCATAGAGTTCGTAGTAGGATTTCAAAGCAGTGTCTGTTGCTAAAGACATGTTGGTTACATTACCAGCAACGGACACGCGAACTTCGGATCATATAGATACTATGTTCTCTTAAATTTTGGTTTCGTTTTTGTAGTTTATTTCATTATTACTTCGTTATTACTTCTATTGTTATTTCTATTGTTATTAAAGAAATTTAATATCATCATGGCCTTAATTTTCAAGATTTGACCAAATCGATTATCGATTTTGTGTATGGCCTTGAAAGATAATTTAAATTTTAACCATTTAAAAAAAATCAAATCTTGAAATTTATTGGTACTTATTTATAACTGATTACGGTTTAGTCAGTCTTAACTCTTAAATAGGACAAAATAATTAAATTCCATAGTCCTTATGAAAAGAGCGATTACCAGCAACGGACACGCGGACTTCGGGTCACCGTACGGATAATAATGTATTGGGTGCATATTGATTAACGTGTTAAATAAATGTTTAGTAATATGTCGAAAGAAACTAAAACTTATTGTCTTAGTATTAACAATGCGAAAGAATTTCTTTTGTCGTTTATTTTGTTATTGCTTCGTTATTACTTCTATTATTGGTAAAGGAATTTAATAATATCACCATATAAATAGTCCTACTTTTCGAGATTTGACCAAATCGAGAAATCTTCATCTTTTTTGATTATTCAATTTGGTATCATGTCGAAAAAAAATTAACTGGTTGAGTTTTTAGTCAGTTTTATCTCTTGTAGGCAAACTAAACCAAATAAAACGTTATGATTAAATTCTATAGTTTTTATGAAAGAGGGAGTATCTAAAGAATGGGATTACCAAAGACGAACACGCGGTCATAGGGTTGTTTTCTTAAAATTTTTGTTCAACTAAAATGAAATTGCCTTTTACTATATATATATATTATGTATGTTATCGGGTTTTTAGACTGAGAATCACTTCATTGTGGCATTTACCTTTACCTGATATATATATATATATATATGGAATCGATTCAATGTGTTAAGTTTTCGTTAATTAGAATTTAATATCATAGTAATTACATCAGTCATCTCGGTTTTAACGAGAGGTGTGTATCGCTTATTAACTGAGGAAATATCACTATGACGAGCGGTATTACTATAATTGTTAATTTATAAAAACTTGTAATAATTAATAACGATAAAATATAATTATGTCGGTTAAAATTATACGCGATCGGGAGTATAATTCAGCAAGTCAAAAATGGGTCATTACGTGGCATTTTTTTGACCAATCATTTTATCCTCCGTGGGTAAAAATTTCAAAAGTTTCTCCGTTTATGCTTCTTTTATAAATTTGTTAATTTATTTTTTCTCTCCTCAAATAATAATTATAATAGGGGATATTTATAATGATATCAGATTAATACACGAATATTTTTTTCATAATAATGCAGATACAGTATATGGTCCGTGGTTATATTATGAATATTAGATTAATAAAAAGAGTATGATAACGGTGTATAAAAAAAAAGATTTTATTATTCATTAAAGAGATTATTTATCTTTAGAAATGGGCTTAAGTAATAACGACATTCCTGAAGTAAATTTTATGATTTTTTTTTTAGAGAAAAAGAGAGGAGGAAATTTACTTTTGATTATTTCACCTATTTTTAATTTGTTAAGGTAACAGAATTCTTCCTTTTTCATTTAAAGCTTTCCTTTTTCGTTAATATCAATAATATTAATACAACCTTTTTTAAATATTTTTATGGGGGAACCTAGATTAATTAATGATTGAAAAAGATATAAAAATATTAGAAAATTTGAATAAAAAGGATATAACAATGAAAACAATGGTTTTCGTACTACTTTCATTTGCATTTTTCATACATGAACACGTAAAAACGATATTTTTTTTTTTTTTTTTTCTCAAAATTAATTTTTTTTTTAATTTTTTTAATTTTTTAATTTTTTAATTTTTAATTTTTAATTTTAGTATTACAAAAAGATGAAATTAACCGATTCCTAAATTCGTTTCTTTTAATAAGATTCACGGAATCTCATTTTTGCAAAAAAAAAAATTTACAAATGAAAGAAAAAAAAAAAAAAA